ATTTTAAAGGAGTTGTGTAAATACATAGTGTGGAAATGGATCGAAAACTTTGGCATCGTAAGCAAATACACATTTTTTAAGCTCCAAATTTACTTCTCGTTCTCATTTAAATTTTTTAACTAGTTGTGTTGGTCAACCAACGATCAGGCCCAACCCTGGGCATATATATATATATATATATATATATATATATATATATATATATATATATATATATATATATAAGTAAATAATATATACAAATGTTTTTTTTTTAAATAGCTTAGTTGGTATGTTATGTGATTATTATTTCAAAGGTTATGGATTCAACTGTTCAAGTCTTCTTGATAATAATTTTAAACATTTCCTCTAATACTCACCCAATAAGAGTAATTTCATACTTGTTTTAATAAATTTTTTCCTACATTCTAGACGAGTAATTTAATACTTATATTTTATGCATGTATTTTTTGTGAGCTTTATAATGAGTTATGAATTGTAAAGATTATTTAACTTTTTTTTTTTTTGTTCATATTCTTTCTCAACCTACTGAAACACAAAGAGCCAATAACGCCTCCACTGAGACTCGAACTCATAACCTTCCAAATGGAAGTCCAACCCGGGTACCATTAATTTACATAAAATATATTTTTTGATTCACTTATGGAAAAAACAAATTAGAAAATATTTTTTTTTGTATGAATCATCTATTCAATGTAATTTAGAAGTTTCTATTATGTGTTATCGTATTTAAATTACTCTAGAAAAATTTGAAATTGATATAGCTTAAAGAAAAAGTATTTTAAATATCATATCGATATAGAATATGTGTGATTTGTAATGTGTTCTCTATTCAAACTATTTTATATAATTAATAACATTTCATACCTTGTTATGAATAATTTTATGCGTGTTTTGAAATATTTTAATTTCTCGCCCCCGTCAAAAACATTTAGCTCGGCATTTTTTAAAGTTTTGTTTTATAAATTTTTATTAATAATTAATTCATTATTTATTATGATAACATTATTATTGTTTGTAAGCTTTTTTAGTTTACATTGTTTATTTATTTTTATAAATTATAATTATTTATTTATGAATGCACTGATGTAGTTATTGATCATTTTACATTTAGAAAAACACCAATAAAGTTTCTTCATGCATATTGTTGTGTATGTAAAATTTTTAAAAATTCGTGAATCTCATTTTAAGTTATTTCGTATTAGTGTTTTTTTCTTATATGCAATTTAAATTTTAAGTGTAATGCTAACTAAGAAGGACATTTTTTTCGTCATGTCCCGAGTTTATAAAATAATAGGACCGGACCTGCCAATGACTACCTTTAGGTTGTAAAACGAACACTAGTGTTGTAAAATTGGCATTAAATTAGCATGTGAATAACCTTTTTGAGAAATAATAATAATAATACATACATACATACATTATACATACATACATACCAACCAAACTCCATATTAATCTTGAAAATTGTAAAAAAAAAAACAAAAAACAAAAAAAAAAAAAAAAAAAAAAAGTGTATAATATTATTCCATTCATCCCACGATAAGATGTGATATTATAACTTTATTGCTGACTAAAAAGGGCAGCAGAGACATGCAGAACTCAAGCTGACCAATGTACTGAGTACTATATTGGTCAGTAAATTTTTGAAAACCACATTTATTTTAGAGTTAATACCTAAAATAGTCCATCGACTATGTCGTAATTATTAATTTGGTCCTCGATTATCATTCTTACCCAATTAAGTCCTCAACTATACAATTTTTATCCAATTTAATCCTTTGTCAATTTGATTGTTTGTTGACTGTCAAAAGTGGAAATAAAGTTGTAATTTTACAAGTTTTCTCCTTCCTCCTCATTTAGCAGCGCCAAACCATGTAGCAATAAGCTCCGGTTGGGTTCTAAACCTGTTAGTATCGAAGTAGTGGTTATGCATCGGATAGCCCATGAATTTGATTTCCAACGATTTTTTGACGATCGAAATCTGATCGAAGTGTATTGCTGCATGGTTTGGCGCTGCTAAATGGAGAGGAAGGAGAAATCTTGTAAAATTATAATTTTATCCCGACTTTTGACAATCAACAAATAGTCAAATTAATACAGAGGACTAAATTGGGTAAGAATTGTATAATTGATGACTAAATTGGGTAAGAATTGTATAATTGAAGACTTAATTAAGTAAAAATTACATAGTTGAGGATTTAATTAGGTAAAAATGACAGTTGAGGACCAAATTGGTAATTATGACATAGTCGAGGGACCATTTTGAGTATTAACTCTTTATTTTAAACAGACCACGACCCACCTCACACTTCGTATCATTGTTTAATTAAAACTACAGTCAGGTCAAGTCAGTACTAATCTCTGAATCCGTGCACACACCTACATATACATTTGCACAGTACAACAAATTTTTTTTACCTTCATATATAATCACCACTTACACCTCCAACTTTCTTACACACCCAACCATGGGTAAATTCACTCCAATATTCATTCATACACACAAACACACACCAATAATCACTATTGACTTTAGAAATATCACCATCATCTACTCCAATCTCATACAATATCAGGATATATATATATATATATATATAGAGAGAGAGACACTCATGTAGTCATGTAATACGTAGGTAAATATAAAAACTTATGCAAGATCATTTTATAACTTTTGGTTATTGGTTTAGGCTTGGAAGGTTGAGTTAAAAATTCTGCCATTAAAACGTGGCGTTGAGTATAAGGAGATAAAGTTGCACATTTCTTACTAGATAGCTATATATACTTCTAGTGTAGTGATAAACAATTGATATTGAGAGTTCATATCAAAGCATGTCAATGTTGTACAATTGAAACTAACATGTGCTAACCATTGGTAAATAAGATTAGACAAATCTTGAAACTGAGTTTGGATTAATTTAAAGGGAAATTAAAAGGGTCTATTGACATTGAATTTTACACAAAAATGTAATTAAGCCTTTGAACTTTAAAAAACGCGATTAAACACTCGAACATGTCATTTTGGTTCATCTAATATATAACCCTAATAGACAGTTATCCACCTGGAATAACCAGTTATTAGAGTTCCAAGATTCCAGCGACAATTCCGATGACTAAAAATTTACAGTAACCGTTCAAATTGAAAAAATTTCCAATGACTGTCGTCGATCGCTTTTTCCAGTTGAGAAAACAACCAGCTAGTCGTCTTCTCCTAGAGAAGATTACCGGACTGGTTTCCTTCTTCTGGAGAAGACGACTAGCCGGTCGTCTTTTCCAATGGAGACGGCGACCAGTGGCTGATCGCTTTTTCCTGGAAAAGGCAACCGGACTAGTCACCTTCTATAGGAAAAGGCGACTGGACTAGTCGCCTTCTCCGGGAGAAGACGACTAGATCTGGTCGTCTTTTCCAATGGAGAAGACGACCAGCTGGTGGCCTTCTACACAGAGAAAACGACAGACGAATTGTCTTTCTGGTGGAGATCGAGAAGGCTACCGGTAGTTATTTTTTTTAAAATTGCGGTCAGCGGTGGTCAACGATGGTCAATGGAGATAATTTTACTGGTAACAGACATGTGCCAAACATTGGTAAATTAGATTAGACAAATTTTAAAAATCAGTTTGGGTTGAAAAAAATAGTTTAATTTTAAGGTCAAATGGACAAATGACCCTGAATTTTACACAAAAATGCAATTAGGTCCTTCAACTTTTAAAAAATATAATTGAACATTCAAACATTTCATTTTAGTACATCTAACCTCAATATCCAATTATCCACCTTGAACAACCGGTTATTGCGATTCCGACGACTACAAATTTTCGACAACCGTTCAATTTTAATAATAATAATAGCAATTTTTTCCAAATTCTTTTTTTTTTTTTAATTTATCTCACAAACTTTCATTCGTGAAATAGTGTCAAACAAAATCCTCAAAAATAGTTATTGTTTCACGAGTTAAGGTATGTAAGAGTATTTCACGTACAACCAACTATAACGTAATGTTATATATTTTAGGTTTGGAGTTGGTCCCGGTGGTGATGGACTGATGACAGAAGGTAATAAATGTAGGCATACAAATACAATGCCTCAAGTCCAAGAAAGTGACGACACGGTAAGAATACATACAATAAGAAAATCTCATCTCATGAATATAATGTGAATATGAATCCTCATTCACATTTAACCAAAATTAATCGGGGTTAATATATGTGGGGTAAATTCAAAAACTTGTCCATCAGGTCAGTGAACACTGTATCCCAGATTCCCAGGCTAGCTTGTCAGCCTTTTTGTCGAGGGGTGAATCAATGAATGAATGAATGCAATTACTAGTGTCTGTACCTACCTCCTATTCCACTCAATCAATCTCCATCTTCCCCTTTTTACTTCTTCTCCCTGTACTCTACTCCCACTGTACCTAAAACTACTTTTTATTTTCATCTTTTCAGGGTTTTCTTTTCATTTTTCGAATTTGCAAGTCACTACACTCCAACAGAACATTTAAGAGAATAAAAATTACTGTGACTCAGTGGTTCAGCAGACATGGCTAAATGTCAGTGCGCACAAGGAATCTGTTCAGTGTTCAGTATGTCAGTGCACACAAGGAATGCCACTCCTAAGATTCAAATATCAAACATTGATCTCTTATCCCAAATACTGCCTACTGAACCAGGCTACGAGCGCAAAATTATTATTTGACATGATGCATTATGATTTATTATTTGTAGTTAATCTTATATCAAATGTGAGTTTTACTGTTATAATATACACATACATTAATCCAGGTAAAAGGTGAACATGTATTGTTCTATCCCGTTGTACTGTGCCTTAGCCCTTATGTTGATAATATACATGTGCATTCATCATGCATGTTTGAATTCGAGACATTATTTAAATGAAACATCTTGAGAAGGGTTTCAAACCCTATCAACAGCTATATATAAATAAGGTATGTATTTGATCCAAGTTTATAGGGCATTATATTATGTTGAAGGTTTAAAAATTGTTACTTGTAAAGTGAGTAAAAAAAGATTAAAATAAAATAACACAATAAGTACAATTTCACTAAACAAGATGCATAATGCTTGCCAACATTGTAAAAGCTGTGCATGAAATGGGGGCTTCAATTTCCCAAGAGAATATATCCTACCCAATATTATATTGATGCATAGATAGATGAGCAAAGATTTAGGCTTCTGCTAGCTAGCTTATCACATCATTGAGAAATGATAACCTCTGATCTTCATTCCTATGAACAAGTTAGGGTTAAGTTGCTTCAACATCTCAACTTGTCATAATAATCTTTCCAGGCTGTTTGATTATTCTCTGAAAACTTCCTTCAAGCAATGGAGAAATCACACGCAAGCCCAGAAGCTGGAAATGATGGCAGTATGAACATATCCAGCTACCCTTACCTCGAATGCATAAAACATGTATAGATAAATTAAATCAAGAAATCTAAGCACAAATATATGCTGTGTGAAGTTACCATGTCACTGATCTGCAAATCTGCAGCAAGAATATCCCAGAAAAGAACTGCAGATCTTTCAAGAAAGAAAGGGAAAAAGGGTTAAAATCATGTTTTTTGTTTGATAAATTAGGTTTCTCAGCTTAGGTCAGACTAATTCTGAGTCTCCCGAACCCCTGTCTGAAGGAGGTAAATCGCGAATCGCGCACAACTCTGGAGCATAGTTTTAGGGTGATCGAGAGTTACCCGGAGGAAAATCATGTTTTGGGAGGGAGGAAAATGATCAGTTTTCAGTGAAGAAACTATAGATCTGTTACACTGATCTGCAGATCTGTTACTTTGATTTGGAAACCTTTATGGATTTGCAGGGAGAGTGGAGATTCAGTGTGGTTTTTATCATGACTTTTGCAAAGAAAGTGAAACCCTAAGAAGCTAAGCCATGGAAGAGGTAGTGGTAATGATTACTACTTACAAAGTCAATCAATAAGGCACTGGAGAGGTTCTGGAAACAAACAAGAGAGATTCTTGAACCCATCATGAGAGAAATCATCAGCATCACAAAAAAAAAAAAAGATTTGTTCTTTTAAAGACTGACAATACTACACTACAAGAGAGTAATTATGAAACTTTTTACCCTTTTCTGCAAAAGCAAAGTCAAAAACCATCATCATTACACCAATCTGCAATTGTCCACCACCCACATTCTTCATATTTTACCTGACCACAACAACAATATCCACAAAACTAACCACAAAAGAAAGGAAAAAAAAATCAGTAAAGCAACAAACTTTTTCACAAGATCCATCTAGTATTACCAGATTTGAGAGAGAAAGGGTAGGTTAAATCATCAAAGGGAAGCAGAAAATTGGGGGGAATGAAGCCTGGTCCGACGACACTAACACATGATCCATGATGAACTATTACCCAGAATTTAGAAGGAAAAAAAGAAGAGATTTGGGTACATGGATCTAGTTGGTGGCCTCGAGCCAGACAACATTCCCCTCAATCAAGAACAAAGCTTCCTCCTTTTCTTCTCCTTCTTCCATGGGGTGTGAATGTGAAGGAGGATGAGGGAGAGGAGAGATTTGTGAGGGGAAGAGAAGAGAAGAAATGGGAATCTGGGAAGGATGGGAGATGGGAGAAGATGATAAATATAGATAGGATGGGGGAAAATATATTGAAAGAAAGAGGGGTGAAAAAGGACAAACAGAGTCATTAAAGCAGGGCAGCAAACACCATGCCGTGACCCTACACTACAGCTTAATTGGCTCCAGAAATGACCACGACCCACCCACCCACCTCTCCCCCCCTACCTATGCCCACCCTAACCTCCTCAACCCTACCTAACTTAACCTAAAATCTCTCTCCCTGTCATGTGTTTTCCGGATAAAGGATAAATGGACTCAAACTTTTTCTATATACCTTAAATTCATTGGAAAAAAAAAAAATGAAAAGGCGTTTGGTTGGATGTAATTTAGTTCTAATTAAATTGTAATTTAATGAAGGTCTCAATTACATTATTTGGTTGGTCTCCTATTGTTGAATTACAATTCATGAGTAACTCTATGAATTACAATTCAATCTTTGGGGGAAAGGAAAAAATAGAAGAAATGACAAAAATACTCTTGTTGATTGTTTTTCTTATTATTATTACACAAGGATATTTTAGTCTTTATACCACTTTTACCTTCTCATCCCCCATAATTCTATTCCTCCCTCCCAAAGAATGTAATTTGAATTCATACATTATTCCTACCTTATTCTTTTCCCACCGAATTGCAATTCTTTTCCTTCCTAATTCCTTCATCCCAACCAAACACATCCTGAAAAAATAAAAATTATGACTCATCCATTTCTTTAATTGGGTATTTGATAGGATCTCACATTGTTGTGCCAAATCTTTATTCTAGAGCTAGCTTAAACATTTTCTTTTTGTACATATAAAAGATTGAAACAAAATTATAGCGGTATATACACTAAGCATTAAATAGGAGTGTGCATGAAAATGTTTTTTTGGCTGCTCTTTCAATGCTTAAATTTAAGTTTTTTGGTTAAGTTAGAAGATACTCATGCTATTTCATTGACAGTCCATTAATGTGTGCATGAAATGTTGAATGAGAATGATTAAGAGGTAATGATAGGGTCAGGAAAATAAGGGCTAAAACACTGTAGAGCACATGAAAATTGCATCACTGAAATTGCTATACTGAGTTAAATCACATCAAGAGGATGGGCATTCCGTCAGCAACTTGACTAATAATTAAGCAATTGAAAATATATATAGATGGATGGGTGAACTAAGAAAGACAAATACAGAAGTTGATTATATAGAGATAGGGTGTGGGGGGGGGGGGGGGGGGTAGGGGGTACTGGTTGATATTTATGAAAATTGCATATTTCCGGGCAAGACAGTAAATCTAGGAAAACAGCAATAAATGTATAATAACATGGAAAAAGGAGGGACCCTCGTTCAGAGTGAAACTTCATTTTCTAAGCTTCCGGGGGATAACACACTCATACCCCACTCTCCTCTCCTCTTGTCCACTCAACCTTCATTCATAATGGAAAAAACTACTCACACTTTCAAATTTTACTCCTGACTTTTACTCCTTTTCATAACATTTTGATGTTAACATTTTTATTAGAACTCACATGATGAAGATAACTAATCATCAATTGCGACATAATAGAGTAAAAGTAGAGTAAAAACAGAAAATATATGTAGTAGAACTTTATAATATCACCATTAAAAAATAAAATTGTTGTAGTGTACTACTGTACACGAGTATTTTTTTTTTAATATTGTTGACTCTATTACAATGTAGTATCTGTTTATACATAGTTTCTCAACCTACCGAAGCACACGGAATCAAAACCTCCGCACTATACACAAGTCAATAGTACTCAAAGAGGATATATTCTTGCAACATGATTTAAATTGATTAGATTGAAAGGAAAAAAAATAACCAAAAAAAAATTATGCTTTGACATTTTAAGGAAATACGGCGATTTATATTGATTAGGTTAAACGGGAAAAAATAAAAATAAAAATAAAAATAAAAATAATAAATAGATTTTCCTTTGACATTTTACAGGGCGTTTGGTTAGAGGGGGAATTATGTGGGAAAGGAATTGTAATTCCATGGGAGTTGAATTACTGGGAATAAAGTGGGAATTTAAATTCCAGTTTTTGATTCACAGGAATAGAATTACTGGGAATTTCAATTCCAATGTTTGGTATACATGGGAATTGAAAGGGAATAAGTAGTATAAAGTCAAAAATATCCATTATTGTTGTTAGACATTAATTTTAGGTTAAAAAAGGAAGGGGTAATTTTGACTCATCACTATCTTTTTTTTCCAGGAATTAAAATCCCGGGGGGCATGGGATTTTAATTCCATAAAAATGGAGGAATTGTAATTCCATGGAATTGCAATTCCCTCCAACCAAACTACGGAATTTAATGGCCTTTGGAATTAGGTGGGAAGAGAATTTAAAATCCCTCCAACCAAACGCCCTGTTAAGGAAATTATTAAGCGCAAATTGTTCAGCATAATGGTAAGCTTTGATTTGAGCGTTATACATACACACGTAAATAAATAATGGTATTAACAGTACATTTGTACGTTTCATTCCTATTCAAATATGAATGGTTAAAGATAAATATAAAATAACAGACATTTATCCTTAATAAAACCTTAATTTTTAATTCAAATAAAACACGTATATTAACATGAAAAAAAAAATGAAGTTAAAGTTACTTTCTCCTTCTAAATTACCTCCTAAAAGGATAAATTAAATGTGACAAAGCTCATTATGTTTTTCCTCATCGTGAGTTAAAAAAAATAAATAGAAATAAAAAATAAAAAAATTCATGTAATAATCATAAATAAATAAAAGTGCTAATTTTTTTTTTAATAAAAGTGCTAATTAACTAATGGTATATATATTAAGATACACTTACACAAAATTGTATAAAATCATTTCATGTGAGATAAATGTTAAATATGTAATATTTTTAATAAAAATGTAATACTTCTCTAGTCAACAAATATTAAATTTTCATTGAAAAATATTAATTACTAATAATTCTTTGAAAAGTATTGGTAAAAATTTAATACTTTTCAGTGAAAATGTAATATTTGTTAACCTATAAAAATAATGTATATATTTACTACCAAATTATTTCTTAAGAGTTATTGTCTATCATAAATTTGAAGTATCAAAAGAAAAGTATAAATTAATTAATTAATTACTAAGCAGCTGGCGTTAAAGGAAAACTGACCAGAGATAATGAAACTGTGTGCTTAGATCTTTTCCTGTTTTTTTCACCTTTTTGTTATTGTTTGACATGCAACACCATTACACAATGTGAAACTTTGTAGTGGTAGATAGTTTCCCTTCTCCCAAAAGGGTTGAATTCCAATTCAAATGGCCCCTTACATCCAGGTCAACAGAACATTTAGGGACAGAGTTAAATGTCAATGCGCACAAGAGATTTGTTCATTTTAAACATAATTTCTATACTGCCATTATCCGAAGTTCGAATTTTGATCTTTTTTCTCAAATTTAATACTGATTACTGAATCATTGAGTTAAGTCCGTGCGGGCTCGTAGATGGTTTCTCTTGTGTTGGGTAAATGGGGGAGACTTTCTTCCCCCTCCCTTTTCCTTAGGTGTTCACAAGGTAAAATTAGACAGCCACTACTTGTTCACACATGCAACTTTCTTGACTTTGCCATTCCCATGACAAGATTGTTTTAAAGTCGTCGTCACTATTATCACCCAAATTTCTAAATTTTTCTTTGGTAGTTGAACAAGATGTTGGAGCTTGCTTTTGTAGGGAGAAAAAAAATGTAATTAACAATAATAATTCAATCATGTGTTGGGCGTGAGGAGAGAGATGATTCGGAGGTGATTTCTCTAGGAGAGATTACTCCTCTAGCAGTAATATGACTGCTGCTCTGTGGTAGAAATAAAGTGTAAATTAAATTTTGATAACAATATGCACAACGCAATGTAATTAAATTAGCAATTAAGTATCAGGACTATGTGGTCTAATGGTACTCAGGTTGGACTTCCATTTGAAAAGTTGTAAGTTCGAGCCTATGTGGTCTAATGGTACTCAGGTTAGACTTCCATTTGAAAGGTTGTAAGTTCGAGCCTCAGCATTCAAAAAAGTTAGCAATTGAGTTTGAAAGGAGCAGTAAGAAATTCTCGAAAGAACAAGACATCCTCACAGTAAAGCAAAAGACAGCATATGAAAGGATAACTCATGGATGAATTAAGGTAACTCTTACGTCAACACGTCGTAGAGGAGGTCATATTAAGTTTTAAACCAAGCAAATAGCAAGGCCTATGCAGCAGAATGTTAGGAGAGTCCTAGTTATAGTTACACTCTAATCTATGTGTTTATATTTATCTGTTGTAACCCATTACATTTGTAATTTAAGAATCCTGTTTTAATCTGGTATCAGGTTCTTGATGGCCGAAGTGAATGATAGTACCGCTAGTTCTGAGCGGACTGTTTCCGATGCCATTACCCCGTTGCCGCCGATTTCATTGTCTACGATGCACCATTTTGTTTCCATAAAACTTAAATCCCATAATTTTCTTTTTTGGCATACTCAACTTGTTCCGTTTCTTCGGGGCTAGTGTTGGGCGTCGGCCGAGTTCAGCCCTTGCTTGATTCGAGACGTGGTGTTGTGACATACCATGGAGGGATGTGGTTAAATGTTTAATGTCCATCTACTTATCACCAATTGATTTTAAGTAAGATATGACAACCATATGGTTAAACGTGTTTGACTTGTAACAGTCACAAGATGGGTGACCTGCAGTGCTCAGAACTATTGGTTGGTATCATAGCCGAGGTCACGGGTTCGAATCGATGGCGAGGCTAAAGTCGAGTCTAGTCCCGGATGGGATGTGGGCGTAGGTCGGGCCAAGTCCAGTCCCAAGAGGGGAATTAGTGGACGCAGAGACTAAGGACCGAGTAAGGCATGTTGCGCAACTGGGCTTGGTGTTCAAAGGTTGCGACAAGTGCTGGGAGGGGATTGTTAGGCGCCGTCTTTGAGTCGAGACGTGGCGTTGTGGCTTACCATAGAGGGATGTGGTTAAATGGTTAATGCTCGCCTACTTATCACCAATTGGTTTTAAGTATGATATGAAAACCAAATAACCAAATAACTCTATGGTCACAAAATGGGTGACCCACTAGGAAGTAAGCATAGTGCAGCGCCGCCCCCGTTCTAAATCCGACAGATCCATATTATCCATGTTGAAAGTTCGTTGCATATTTCAAATGTCTCTCTCCAACAGACAAATTTGGATCCAGATATAAATAGGAGTGACATGCTGAGGAAAAAAAAAAAAAAAAAAGATGCAACGAACAAGTTCAAAGATTCAAGTAACTTTTAATAATCTTTTACAAGCACAATCCAGTTCACTCCAAGATTTTTCAAAACTTTCAAAGCATTTTTCAAAAATACTTAAGTCTTTATATATAGTTAGAAGGCTTATCAACTTTGGTTGATCATCTATTGTAAATCTCTACATGTTGTAGAAAGAGGATGAGTAGCATACTTGGTGAAGTTGTATGAAAAACTTGACAAATTTGGTGTTGACTTAATGATCAAAGCACAAGTTTAGCTTACTTATAATTTGTGTTGTGATAAAGTTTTACTGGTAAATTTTCCTCCTAATTCGTAAAAAGAGATGAGTGAAGTAGATGATTTAATTGTGAATGAGGAACTTAATATCCATGTAATGGCAGGAAGAGAATAGTTATGGAGGAGTAATTAGAATACATTTGGTCATTGACTCGAGATGTTGCACTCATTTTGAAATATTAAAAAGGCTATAATTATGACTTACCAGGAAAATTAAAACTTTGAATTCAGAAAACCACTTTTTGACTTCATGTCTCCGGCCATTGCATTTCGTGATAGTTGACCTTACCAACTCCACATTTTCACAAACTCCATATGCTTTATGTGTATTTTATTTCTCCCATGCATTTTTTGGAATTATGCAAATGAAAAACTTTTACCCTTGTTACAAGTACAATATTTTCTATTTGACAATACTATACATCTCATTGTTTATAAACTATGCTAGAAAGTACGCAATACAGTATTTGAAAACATTATAAACATTACCCATAAAAGTATTGCCTCTTTCAACATCATAGTAATATCTATTTTAAATGTTGTAATGCACTTAAAGGACTTTGTAGTACAGTAATATAAACGTTAGACTTTATATAATTATGTAAAAAAAAAAAATTATTAGTCAAACATAATATAACAAATATAAATGTTTTTCAATGCAACCCAAATATCCACACTTTACCTAATAAGAGCAAAGAAGACAAGCACTATAAAGCTAGTTTCATATGATACAAAATATTAAGGCATGTTTGGTAAATGGTTGTTAGTTGTTAGCTGATTGGGTTAATTAGAGGGTATAACTAGTTGATAACATTAGCTCATTGCATAAAGGCGTTTGGTAAATTAGTTGTTAGCTGATATCTGTTTGGTATAATTTTCTTTTCTCAAAAATCTAATTGAAAAAGTTGCTTTAAATAGCTTTTTTAATTTTAACATTTTGGAGTACAAAAAACTAATTAACCAAATACTTATATTAATTTTTAAATCAAGTCAAATAATTAATAGTGATCAAATAAGTCAAAATTGACCTATAAACTAACTATTTTACCAAACAGGGATTATATACACCGATCATCTTAAAAAATTACTCCCGGATAATAATAACGAAATGATAATTCAAACCTTATAAATGAAACAGAAAAGATTGAGAGAGCTCTCAAATAAGATTCGACCAAAATTTAAACTATTCGAAAGAAAAAATAAAGGAGAATTTAAAAAAAAATGAATATTATTATAATAGAGAATCAGAAACAGTGGATTGGTTTTTCGTACTAAATAATGTTATTAGTTTGGCTGCTTCTAATCATTCTGCGAATAACGTTGAAAAAAAGTGCATAGGAGTGGTTGAAAAGTTGGGAAAAAGGTAAATCCCCTTTTGTAACAAGCTAGCTTTTTCACAATCCAAGAATTTTTTTTTTATTTTTTATTTTTACAAATTAAAAAATGCATTTATTGTTTTATATTTAGGAGAGAAGATTCTATTGTATACAAAAAACAATAGGGAAAATTAGAAGGAGAGTTGAGGTATATAGCATTGTGACGTTATAAAGTAGATAGTAGAAACCCAAACATGAACAAGGCGACACCTTGATTTTCGTTTCATTTTTCAAATTTGATTAAACAAATGTGACCTAATGTCGAGGCTACACGTTAGGTATCCTAAACTAGGTAGGGTCTAGTGTTTATTAATTAGGAAATGCTACACCAATATGAACTTTTTATATGCATATATATCTTAAATTTTGTGATGCATATTAAAATATTAATATAGATCAATTAAACTAAAATATGTCAATGACCTTGTCGTCTAGTGACACCAAGTTATCCGTAGATTGAGAAAAGTAGTTATGAACATATACTATATATTGTAACAGAATAAGTAGTACTCAAAAACTTTTTAAAAAAATAGATAAGTTTGAAGGTGAGTATTGGATGGAGTTGGGTTATGTAGGATAGTCCATCGGCGGACTACCTGCTTAAAAATCATGATAAATGGCCCGTTTTGATAGCTCCAGTTTGGAAAGTGCATATTTAGCTTTATAAGGGTACAAAATTAATGTATTTATACTCTTTTTTACTTATTCATGTGTATTTTGGTCAAAACATTGCAATTTTCTTTGAAATGATGGGGAAAAACTTTTGCATATTTACAAAAATGTTGTTATTTTAACAGGTTTTTTCAGAATAATATTTTTTTTCTCCTAAATAATACAAAGCAAATTGTACGGAGTATATATTTATGAAATGTCATCACATTTTTGTTTAAGTATATATCTCATCTTAGTACTACACAACAGGCTTTTAACGTCGTAGCGTCTATATCCTATTTTACAATGAACAAATTAACAAAAGAGATTTATTCTCATTTCTTACAATGGACACCATTCCAAATTAAGTTATGATAATTGTTACAAATTATATCAATTGGTAAAATATTTTGATAGAGAAATTTGATCCAAATGACATATTTTTTGTATACAAAACAAAATAAGAGAAAGAAATTAATTAACTCTAACCAAACGGTTCAGGTAAATACTCTCCGGAGATGCATAAAAATGTGTAACCTAAATTGGTAGTTTTTAAATTTAGATGCCATTCAAATCGTACATTCCTATTAACATGTTTGAAAAAGTAAACATTTCTTTTGTTTTAATTATACCTTGTCATTTTTTCCAAATGGTTAGCTAGCAAGTAGCAACCAGAGATTTTAGACTGAGTCTATTGTGAGACTGTCTCACGGAATGGGTCGGATTAAAATAAAAATGTAATATTTATGTTGGAAAATGTAATACTAATTAAGAATAAATTATGTGTTACTTAGGGAAGTGTATGTAATACTCAATTTTAAATCAAAATGTAATATTTAAGGGTTGAACAGTTACTTATAAGATAAAGCGTAATACTAATCATGGATAAATTGATTAATTGTTACTTATAAGAAAAAGTGTAATATTTATGAAGAAAAATGTGATACTTTTGATATAAATGTAATATTATGGGTTGAATAGTTACTTATGAGGTAAATTATACGGAGTAATACTTATGAAGAAACCCAATTCATCTCACGGATGAAGATCCATGAGATAGTCTCATGGGAGATTTTGCGGAGTATCTAATAGCATCCCTAGCAACTCAATCTCAAAATAGATTTTTTTTTTTTCTAGGATCTACAAGGTAAATAAAAGAAAATGGAAAAAATTTAGTTTGACCGTCACTTTAAAGGCACAACTAACTTTATTCTTTATATTTATGTAGCAATCAGCGCCACATTTTAATGACATGATTATAGGTAGAACTTGGCTTTGCAAACAACTTAGTTAACTACGAATAAATCTATAAGCACTTCTTGCTATAAATTCCTCATTTCAACTTCCATTCCTCATTAAGTTGACTAATAAAGCCCTCTTCCAACATATTATTAGCTAATTAATAGCTTTCCTAATGATAAATAATTCATTTTGAGTAAATGACACTTTTATCCTTTAATTATAATGATAAAATTGTTTTTTCCCTATTAATTATAAGCACATCACATTTTTTTTCCTCAATTATTCTCAAAGTGACAAATTTTACCTAACTCTTACAAATAAAAATTGTTAAATATTGACGAAGTATTCCAAAATTTTAAAATTTGAAAGACCAATATGTAATTTAAGTTGTTATTTAAAGGAAAGGGACATTTTATTCGATTATTGGAATGATAATTAAGGAGAAATAGTTGTTAAGGGTTGTGTAAATTAAAATTAGTCACTTTAAACAGTAATTTAGGGGAAATGTGGAGTGCTTGATGGAGTGGGGTCAATCTATAATTTGAAGGGAAGCCAAAGCTCATGATAAGTCAAAAGGTAACTACTTTTCCTTTCATCCATAATTGACAAATCACTCAACCGGCTCCATTTCTTAATTTGATGATTCCAATGCTAGGATTTTTTTTTTACACGGAAACATGATATCAGTATTTGAAAATGTATATTAGATAATTTTATTTTTGTATAATAATTCGTAAACTACTAATAAGAAGTAACCGCACTAAGAAAACAATATACGACAAGTTTGATCGAAAATAAGAATCAAATTCGTGATCTTTTGATACGAGAACCATATTTCACTCACAGTCACCTTTTTAGGAGAGTTAGAAAGACTTCTTAACTCAAGGCAAAGACAAGTTCATCATTATTATATATATAAACTATTTTATTAATCAATATTATAAACTATTTTATTAATCAAAACACTAGTGAATAACCAGTTTGCTTGGCGTGAGTGACCATGCACTATCCTTTATCATTATGATAAAGACTTAAAATGACTTGAAAACTATAGACAATCTAGACTAATGGTACGGTAACATAGTCTCTAGCCAATTTGTAACCTGAATCAATACTACATATGTGTCAAGGACAAAACTTTGTGTATCCCTCCATTAATTTTAGGATCAATGAAGAAAAGATAAACAAAAGAGCTTTTAATAAAAGTTAAAACAGTACCGAAACAAATTCAATCTCAAGTATAACCACAAGAAAGAAACAAAACATCATACTAAAGTTTAGTCAAATTTTAAGGATTATAGAGATTCTTAGTTCCATATATTGGAGAAACCATCTGATACAAGGTTGGCTCATCTTCAAAAACAAAATCTACTTGATCTTCTTCTTTGGCCTCAACTGCATCCCAACAGAATTGAAGAACCTCCGTTTAGTACAGATTAATAGCTAAAGCAACAGCCAGAGGAAATAAATTACGCAAGATCTAACAACCAAACCTGATTGCTGTGCCCACACTTCTTTTTGCGACAGTTGACAGCACGGGGATGCAAGCGAGCATAGCACCTTAGAAATTCCAGAATGTGTAAGAAAAGACATTTAGATAGTAATCATGTAACATACAAACCACTTTAGAAACAAACCAGTGGACCAACAGTTTTACATAAATCATGGAACTTGGCCCGTTACTTGTTTAAAAACAGGCTTGCTGCTTGAAATGGTCCAAAATAGGACAAGGCATAACCCACGAAAAAATTGGTCCAAAACCATGAACAAGATTGATCAAAGAACAATAACAGGGTGCTCCAATTCTTCAAAGCTAATGGAAATGATATGCTTTGTGGTGTTAGTGCTAGCAAAAAGACGGGATTTTTCACAAACAGTGACTTCCCTTTCTTTGATCTAGAAAGACACACACAATCAAACTGCTATTTAACTGCAAAAAGAAAACTATATGTATGATGCCCATTTTGCTGCCAAATGCATGCAATTGAAATTATTCACCCGTTCTAACACCAATAAAAGGCTTCTTTCAAGGTGTAGCAAGTAAAACTACTTTTGAATGAATTCATGAAGCATGCACAACTCTTGACTAGTTTTCGAGTTTGACATAGGAGGTCTAATAATGGGCAAAAGGTCTATTTTTTAATAAAAAAAAATGTTAAAGCATTAGCTGCTTTATATCAAGAAACACATATAAACACCATGCCGAGATCTCTATTAAGCCATCAAGTATTGTCAAATATATCTGTCTGCGAGTGTGAAAATCAGAATACTCCGTAAATACACTATAGCAACAACCCAACTGCCCGATTTTTCATCATTAGTTCATTACCACAGAGTCATTATGCATAAATCACAAAACAAAGGGAAAGGGAAACACAGTGAAATACATCTATTCATATTCCAAACAAAAAAAAAAACAATAATGGACTCTTATAAAACTAAGAAATAATCAATAAACAGACTTCCTGATATTTCAACCTATATAACTGAACAGCATTTACTACAACAAATATGCATAACAATGAGAATCATAATTACAAAAAATAAATTCAGGAACTAAAATCTCTTAAGAGGGAGCAATGGAGCATACTTGCGGCAGATCATCTTATCTTGGTTGTACTTCCTGGCCAAAGCCATCAAAGATGGTTCAATAATTCCTCCACGAAGCCTCAGCACCAGGTGAAGAGTCGACTCTGAATTTCCATTTCCAATTGCATAAAAATTATTATTATTTTGCAATTACAGTTGCAATAAAACTGCAAAAATAAGTACCTTTCTGAATGTTGTAGTCGGCCAGAGTACGGCCATCTTCCAACTGCTTCCCGGCAAAAATCAGCCTCTGCTGATCCGGCGGAATTCCTAAAACACCATATGCCAATAGATAAGGAAGGAACAAAATTGGAAATAGAAATCAGTGGTAAAATACATGAAGACAAGTTAAACGCAAGTAAATTGAGTTATACAGTGATAGTTACCTTCCTTATCTTGAATCTTAGCTTTGACATTGTCGATGGTGTCGCTGGACTCGACCTCGAGAGTGATGGTCTTGCCGGTGAGAGTTTTAACGAAGATCTGCATTTTCTCTCTCGCCTCACTTCCCGATCTCCGTTGCCTCCCCTCCTCTCTTTTGTGTAAACCCCTTTATAATTAGGGTTTTAGGAGTCGACAACGCAAATAGGCCGAAATGGAGATCAAGAAACCCACTGGGCTACTTCACTTCTTTTTGAAGATCAAGAAACTAGTTCTTCAACCATGGCCCAAATCTAAGTCCAATAACACCCTCAAAAAAAAAAAAAAAAAAAAAAAAAAGCAAAAGAACAACAAAAAGAGTTAAATTTGCCCAAGTCAAACGGATAATACAATTAAAGCAAACAACAACAACAACAACAAAAAAAAAAAAAAACATTTTAGAATTCTTCTTTTGCATGCAAATGGGAAAAGGGGAATTTTCGTGTGGATGGGCGATTCAGAATGCAAATTTTTGCGGTGGATCATGGTTCAAAACGATGTTGTTTCTTTTGATAAAAATGGGCACTTGTTCCACATAAAATTAGTTTTATTTGCATAACATATTCAGTTTCATTTTATATACATTGTAGTTTTATTTCAACACAATTAAAGTTTCATTCGACATTATACATACAATAATCTTATTTCAGTGAAATATGTTATTGCATTTCATTTTATACACACAGTGGTCTTATTACAACACCACTAAATTATAATTCTAATTCAACTACGGTTTCATTTGACGATACACACTCAAATATGTGAAATTGTTATTCAGTTTCAACTTATATACATTGTAATTTTCATTACAACACAACTAAATTATCATTTTTGATATAACTATAGTTTCATTTGGCAATATACACTCAATATGTAAGACATGTTATTTAGCTTGTTTTTATACATACTGTAGTTTCATTTCAGCAAAACTAAAGTATCATTTTAATTCAACTACAGTTCTATTTGATCATATACACTCAATATATGAGACATGTTATTCAGTTTTATTTCATACATATTGTAGTCTACATTTTCATTTCAATACAACTACAGTATCATTTCAATTCAATTACAGTTTCATTTGATAATACAAACACAATATGCGAGACAAGTTATTCAAATTCATTGTAGATACAGTGTAGTTTCATTTTGTTATGGACACACAAAAAATATGGGATTTATTAAAATTTAACGGCTGACGTTCTTTATTCTTTACATAAAGAAAGTGTACTGTTTGGACCATGTTCCACACAACTCTATTGACCGTGGCCCACAATATAACAACCAACTTTAGGATATGTAAGTAATTATGCCTCTTTTAGGTGCCAAAATTTCCAAAGAACCAAACACCCTGCCCCGATAGAGAGGTGCCAAAATTTCCAAAGAACCAAACACCCCCGCCCAACAGAATATTTGGAATGATGTAATCACACACTGCCGCCGTCGAAATTCTCTTCTCCTAAATACTGCTCAGTGAACCATTGACTTAAGCTCATGTGGGCGAACCAATGCAAGTCTACATCTAGGGGATTGGTGATCAACACATGTTTAATCCAATTTTAGGGGGGGATTGGTGATCAACACATGTTTAATCAAATTTTATTTTAACAATAGTATTAGCTCTATTACAATGCAGTATCTGTTCATATACTTTCTCAACCTATTGAAACACAAAGAACCAATAACGCCTCTACTAAGGCTCAAACTCATAACATTCCAAATGAAAATCCAACCTGAGTACTATTAGACCACATAGTCTTGGTAACGCATTCAAACTCTCTAAATCAATTAAAATGTTCAAATTCCGTCCAAATTCAACTTGATTAACAAGTTAATCATTCCCGTGTTGACATGTGTTTTTTATTTTTTATTTTTTAATAATTTATTTATTATTTTTTTAACTTTTATTTTAAAAGATTTAAAAAAAAAATTATACAACCGGCTAATAAAAAAAAAATGGTGGCCAAGAAAAAAAAAAGAAAAAAAAAAAAACTCAGAAACAGCACGACATTCAAGGGCAACCCTGGTAGTGTTTTATGAGGGTTCCTTTGAATTGGGTAGTTGCTTCACCCCCACAGGTTCTTTGTCCTTATCTTCATTCGCCTTCTCCTCATTAATCAACTCACTTCAATCAAACCTTACACGTAAAAGCTTAATGTCGACGATTTAATGTTTCATATTTCAATTTTGCCTACACTTAAAAAAGAAAAAACTCATCTATATTAATAATCATTCATTATTTTTTTGGTATACCCAGAATTTTTACCGTTGCACACAGTGACTAATTCCCTCGCTAAATTGTGGACACCTCTTTTGGATGAGACAACTGACCTAGAGATTTAAGATTGTTCCATTCCCAAAGTCAATGATTGAACCGTTGACCTTTGATTAATGATAATCATTCATTGTATAATGTGTAGACATTAAAAATTTAACAACACTAATTCGAACGAGTTAATTTGAATATACACAATTTTTTTAATGTATTTGTGCATATACTTTCTCAACCTACTGAAACACAAAGAGCCAATAACGCCTCCACTGAGGCTCGAACTTACAACCTTCCAAATTTGTTTTTATATTTTGTATAAAAAAATATTAATAATTAATTAAGAGATTTATGGAAATTAATATATTATTGATTATGAAATACATTTAAAACTGAATATTTAATTTATATTGAAAAGATCTAAATTTATGTTTTTATACGTTTAAAAAGATAAAACTTAATGGCAATATCCTTGGTATTTTATAATGCGCACTAGCTTTTATTTTGGAGTATACTATAATATAATATATAATATATTAGGGAGTAATTTCTGGCAAAAATGTCCAAAAACATGAACCTTCTGTTTCCTTCTCAAAACCGTGTGCTTCCCGCTGCTTGATTCCTTCAAAACCGACGTCGCCTTCTCCTTCAGGTCTCATAGTCAAACCCCCCTACATAAGCACCAATTGCGCCATTTTTCCCAGGTTTCATTGAGAAAAAGGCCATTTTTACACCACAAAACCTACAACTCTATATTTCGCCGGAAAAAATATAGGGGGGAAGGAAAAATGTGCAGGGGGTTTCTGGAAAACGGGCCGGATTGTTTAAAGCTCAGAGCTTTCTACATCCATTTGTCGGTCTCGACGGCCAAGAAAGCTTTACCGCATTCGTTGACGCTGCACTACCTGCCGCGGATAGACGGGGGCGCTTTGGAGATAAACGGGTCCAAGATCCGGGCCGACGCGCCCGGGTTCGTGACGCTCCACCGCGTTGTGGCGGCGGACGCGGCGGTGACGGGGGCGGTGTACGGGAGCAGGGACAGGGTGAAGGCGAGCGAAGGGGCGAGGTTCGAGATATACGCCGGAGATTCCTCCAGGCTGGTGAAAGGCGTTTTCAGGAAAGACTGGGCGGAGGAGAATTGGAAACTGGACTGCGAGTGCGTGGTGGCCGGAGAAGACGATTGTCTGGGAATCAAAGCGGCGGAGGTGTGCGTGGCGGTGGAGGGATACGCGCCGGAGCTGATCACCCAGAAAGTGGAAATGCTGCCGCCGCGACGGCTGCGGCGGCGGAGGTGTTATCAGGGGTTGGAAGAAATCCCCGAGGGAAGAGAAACTGAAACAGAGTCCGAACCGTGTTGCTGTCACTGCTGCGACGAGGGAGAGAAGGAGATGGACGGCGGAGCTTGTAAGGCGACGGAGGCGGTGGGGTGGGCGGTGGACATGGGAATATGGATGGTGTGTTTAGGAGTAGGATATTTCGTTAGCAGAGCTTCCTACAAGAGTTTGAGAAGAAGACTCATTCCATAGTTACCATTGTATTTTAATAGCAGAGTTCAATAGTTATTGTAAATACTGTATTATACAACAATTTTGAAACAATAAATATTTTTCAAAAAGCTTACTTTACAAAAAATATTGTCCCTAAAGCCCATATATCACGGCTTGACAAAATATTTGAGATCATATAAATTATGATAATTCAATGGTTCAGTAAATGTGATTAAATATAGGTGCACAGAAAGAATTGGTCATTTTAAACATAATATCTCAATTTTCGTCATATGACTATAGGGACTTTGTTAATTTCAATACCTGATTTTTAAAAGTGTTAATTTAGTAGCTTGACTATGTAATTTTTATCAATTTTGATTATTTCGGTCAAATTATAGGCCAAATTTTGTTAGAAATTTTTAATAGTTAAAATAATGAGGGTATTTTAGTCATTTCACTTCCTTCTCCTCTGGCGAATTTATTTTTTCTGGCGAGTCCGTCGCAGCAGCACACCTTCTAAAGCATACCTAAACTCATTCGTCCAAGTCATCGTCAACGATTTATTAGGGTTCAGATGGACAAAATTTCGGTTGAAAACATCTAGCCGTTTGTGTAAGGGGAGTTTGAGATGTCAACGGACCTAGAAATCTCTGAATTGCACTTCTCTTTGTGCTCGTCTAGCGCACCTCCTATCAAAATTTCGGTTGAAAACTTTTCCGGCCAAAAAAAGACTTGCTCGAAAAAGAAAGCGAAATGCTAAAACTGATGTTGATGCCTATTTATTCTAAAACTTCTCTATATCAATTTTATGCTAAAATTGATGTTGAATAAATACTTCTCTTTGTGAATAGTGTTGAATAAATACTTCTTTTGTTTAGATAATGTTGAAAGTATCATAGCGCACCTCATCCTCGGATTTGCGATAAGAGATGAATTTCGCCAGAGAAGAAGAAAAGAGATGTGAAATGACTAAAATATTCTCATTATTTTAACTGTTAAATTTTTTGACAAAATTTGACCAGCAAATTAATCGGAGTAACTAAAATTAATAAAAATTACATAGTCAAGGTACTAAATTAACACTTTTAAAAGTCAAATGTTAAAATTAACAAAACCTCTATAGTCATATGATCAAAATTGAAATTTTCTCTAATATCCACCATGTTGCTTTGGAAATTTGAATATTGATCTTTTTTTTCGTTTTTTTCGTAACTATTGCGTACTGAACTATTAATTCACCTAATGTATCAAAAAAAAATAATACTCCGTATTATTATTATTTTATCAAATTATAAGTATACACGGCATAATGATTTCAAAAAAAAAAAAAAAAAAAAAGTATACACGGCATAAGACTAATTCGTAACTTTATAATTTATTTATTTTTAATACTTTTCCCTACGCCCAATCCCTAGTCGTTTTCTGCGCGCGCCCGTCTTCTTCCCATTTCTCTCTGGAGAATTCGTTTGAACATCAATATCGGAGAAATAAGGAAACCCTATATTCTGCTACTGGCAAAGGAATGGCGAATGGAACGGGTACGGACGCACAGTCGAAGCTGGTAAAGGACCTAATACTCTACGCGGCCAGCACCGCCTTGAGCTTGGTGGTCATGTTCACGGGGCTCCGCTACCTGGACCCAAATCGCGAAGCGTCCAAGAAGGCCATCGAGTTCCGGAAACAACTCTCCAAACGCTTAGGCCGCACTCTCATCCATACCACCCCCTACGAGGCATAATAATCCACTCCTCATTTCTCCGCCCAATTTATTTCCTTGCGTGTATTCCCCCAATTTACTGGCGAAATATTGTTGCATATTTGTCATTTCTGGAGAGAAAATAATGATTTAAGTTTAGATCATCCTATTTAAAAATTGTTGCGTTTATTTTCTTTGTTGTTTAAAGAAAAATATGCAGACAGGGACTAATTCCTCTTTGAATTCCTTTATTATAGGAGTAATGAAATTTTTCAGAGACAGCATAAGCAGTAATTTAGTATTTCCTTCTTTAATTGTTTTTTCGTTTTACAGGACATAATTGCCTGTGATGTGGTGAATCCAGCACACATGGATATTGAATTTGATTCAATTGGGGGATTGGATGGAATTAAGGAAGCTTTGTTTGAATTGGTTATTTTGCCTCTGAAGAGGCCTGAGTTGTTTGCTCATGGGAAGCTGCTTCGTCCAGTGAGAGGTGTGTTACTGTATGGACCGCCTGGGACTGGGAAGACAATGCTTGCAAAAGCAATTGCCAAAGAGTCTGGAGCTGTATTTATCAATGTGAGGGTTTCGAATTTGATGAGCAAGTGGTTTGGTGATGCTCAAAAGCTTGGTGAGTTTTACACTTTATTGTCATTTCTCGTCTTTGTAATGACTATAATGTTGTAGTGTTTCTGCAGTCTGTGTTGGTAAGCACCCATGGAGTAGTGTTTTTGCGGAACTATGCATGGTAACTTGGGTTGGATCATTTGAACGTGTGGTGCTTGCTTACTATCAATTTGTTAGGAGACAGACTTATATTCATCCAAAACCTCATAAATGCCCTTAAAGTAGAGGAAAACAAGGAGTGAAAAGTATAATCAAGTGGAAATGGGCGGACTTGTTCTAAATTATTGGTGCACCATGGGTTCACTTCATTTTGATGCACGCACTGATTTGGTAGTGTTGATGAATTATATTTTTGCAGTGGCAGCTGTTTTCAGTTTGGCTTATAAACTCCAGCCTGCTATAATATTCATTGATGAGGTTGACAGTTTTTTGGGGCAGCGATCTGGAACAGAAAATGAAGCACTAACCATGATGAAGACTGAGTTCATGGCTTTGTGGGATGGTTTTACCACTGATCGTGAGTATCGAGCATTATGCATTTGATGTTGTACAGAATTATCTCATCATAATCATGAAGCTTTTATTTATGCACAATTTATCTGATAATTCTTATGTTGACAAATTCTGTAATTTTTTTTCCAATGTTATTCTCCCCCTGTGATTTGTAATCTAACTCTATCAACCTGAAATATTATTTTTAATTCTTTGGTCATTCCTGTTTTACACACTGCCATTAATAAAATATTTTGCATACAAAAGATTTTTGCCACTAACTAGTCTTTTTTCGTCTGCTGTAAGAAACAATGTCCTCTTGTTATTCAAATATACTGTGACTGTTCTTATACCATTCCAGAAAAGGAGGCCCCAAAATAAATAAATTAATTAATTGAGCCACATTCGATGAATAGTTTACACAAGGCATTGTGTATTTTATCAGTAATGAAAATGTCATCCTTACTTTTTGTAGAGTGTGCTCGAGTTATGGTTCTAGCAGCAACCAATCGCCCTTCAGACCTTGATGAAGCAATACTTAGGCGCTTCTCTCAGGCATTTGAGATTGGAAAACCTGATCGTGTTGATAGAATAAAGATATTGCAGGTAATTCTGAAGGGTGAGACAGTAGACAATAACATTGACTTCAACCACATTGCTGGGTTGTGTGAGGGGTACTCTGGTTCTGACATTTTTGAGGTCTGCAAGAAAGCCGCCTTCTTTCCTGTGCGGGATTACTTGAAAGATGAGAAGAGTGGAAGAAAATCGCAAGTCAGTACATAGTTTTATTGTTTATGAATTATGATTCTAGTACTATTTCTGCATATTCTTTCCATCTGTTTTCTCTTATTAGATGACAATCTCTTTTCTCATCCATTTTTTTTATGCATATTTCCTCTTTGGTGTTACCAACAATATGACTTGTAGAAAAGATGCCTATGCTATTGTAGGCTGGGAAATAAATCATGGTTTGGAAGCTAATTGAAGAGCATCTGAGATATATATCAATTATCAAATGTTTTTACAATGATAAACAAAAATAAAACAGGAAAAAGTATTTAATCCAATTATTTAATGCTAATGCAATAGATGCAAAAGAATTTTTCTTTATTTTTTTTCTTTTTAATTCAATAAAAGTAGTGGGGTTCATGTTATTTCAGAATCAATTGAACCGATTGCTGGCAAATCAATTATAAGTGTTTGGCAGTTTTATATTTTAAGCAATCTGCAGCTTACCAACTGCATCATTTTCATTATTTTGCAGGGACCAAGGCCCTTGACACAGTCTGACCTGGCGATAGCTTTCGCTGAATCCAGGAAAGCTGAGGTTGCTGCAAATAAGTCTCCATATTTAGTAGTGGGCAGATCGGATGACTATGAGGTTATATTTGCAAGATACATTGTTTTAGATTTTTACTTTAGACCGCTCTTATAAGATCCATAGAGTATGTGATTTGAAGTTTTTCACTGTTGGGTTATTTGATCTGACTAGAGCTCTTTTTGTGATGTCAGGAATTAGACTGAGTATGATGGCAGTTGACAGCATCCATCTGCTTGTTCTGACAGTTAGAATTCACGACTATTAGGAACGCTTTATTCTAACCACAGATTTTTACATTGCTGCCGATTACCATTGGTCAAATGCGAAACATTATTATTGTTTTGAAGGTAATGCAGTTCTAAATACCTTGATAAAGGTATAAGAATGTGAAACAATAAGCTGAGAAACTGCAGTTGATTACTACATTATTTGATGTACACTGGAAGTTGTTTTACTTATTTTATTTGCCATATCAGTTAGCTGTTAAAATTGGTTCTGTTTTCCAGGCATTCAACTGCTGAAGCTCCTCTCTCTTGCATTTCAGGATATTTAGCTATAGTTAGCCAAGGATTAGTTGAATTTCTGAGTATTAGCTCATGTATAAATTGCTTCTATCGTATTGAGGATGTATCCAGAACCAGAAGCTTTTGAGATAATGAAATTCTATTTTTTTTTTTTTCTCTCCTAATTCTCTCTTTTTCCTGTCTGAAACTCTCTGCTCTTCCCTCCCATCTTCAACTCCAATTCTCTGTTAAATTCTCATTTCCTTTCACTCTGTATACCAAGTACTTAATGGTGAAATTTTCAAATTTTTTTTGAGATACAAGAGAAACTAGCAGCTATTATTCGAGGGTGTGCATTGAGTAATTTCTAACTTATGACCTTAATCAGCAAAGGACCACAAGAAGGTAAACCAGCTTAGGTTATCTATAGCTTTATCAGCTCAAACTATCATTTTGACAAATACAAAGCAGGATCAAATGATGTCATCAATAAGTATGCCAACCACCTTAAACACATGACTACCTATCATAGATGTAACAATATTAAAGTGTCAGTCTTGAGCCGATCTGTCAATAGGAAATGGACTCAAAATCCTCAACTTCATGCACAAGTCCAAACCAACAGCAGCAAAAAGGAAAACCAACAGATTCTCAGATACAGAGGTTCCTCCATCTAGTGCATGAGAAATGAAGCTTGCGGAGTTCAACTCCAATGGCGGTCCATTGCTTAGCGTTGCAAGGCCTGCACCAAAAGTGCAAGAATACTTTCATCATCATCATCATCTAGAGCTCTTTTTAGATCATATCATTTGCTAATAAAATACTTACCTTTCACAACGCCGAATGCTGCAGATGCTCCAGACTTGAGGTGAAAATTGTCCAGGTCTCTTCTAACCGCATAACGAAAGGTTACTCCAAACAGCGCACAGCTAACAAAAGTGATGGCTAGTGGAAGTATGAGCTCAGAAGTGGTGGCGATCCGAGTCAAAGAAATGGGAACCCCTGCAATGGTGCCTACAACACCAGCAATCAATGCAGCTTTTACAGACTCTAATTTCTCATCATTTATACCCATTGCTTCATTCCCTGCTTCCCCCAAACCCTCTCCGCTACCCAGAGCTTGCTCCGCCTCTTTAATCATTGCTCTTGCTTCTGCAATATCTTTCTGGCATTCTGCAATCTTCAATTCTAAAATCACTCAATAACTCTTTTCCTTTTCCCCCATTTTTTGTTCTTATATTACGAAAACCAGCATAGATTACTCATAGCTGATAGGCTCAAACAAAAAAGACGCTCCTACTAAGAATCTAAACATTGTGAATTTAGCATGGTTGCCCAGTATCACAATTTTTGCAGATAAATATACACATAAAGAAAGAATATAAATTGAAGAATTTAACAATATAATGTAAGAAGCGGACCTCAGAAGCTCTGGTTTCGAGCTGGTTAATGTAATCTCTCATCGCCTTCGCTTCAACTTCTTGTCTTTCAATCTCAGCCAATTCTTTCTTGGCCAATTCCACTCTCCGGGTCGCTTGTTCCAACCCATCAAGCAAGACCCGGTTCTCTTCTCGGGTCAGGAGATCCTCTAGTCTCGCGTCCACCATTCCAGACAAGGCATCCTTCAAACTGCGCGGTTCGCCTTTCTCCGAGCTACTGCCATTACCGCCGGTGCACCTGAGGGGGGTCAGAGAACGAGCTGCGGAATAATAGGGAAACAGGGTTGAGAGTTTCAGTGGGCTCCCGCTGACGCAGAGCCTATCGCTGGTTATGAACAGAGTTTTGTGGTTTGGAGATGGTAGCAATGAAGGCTTCAAAGCCGCCGTCACGGTGGTCTCCATCCCGTGGCCACGGAGAGTAGGCAACGGTTTATGTGGTCGGAGATACACCGTTGAACTTCATTTTATCTCTTTTGATTTTTATATAAACAGTGAATCTCACTTTTAAATTTAATTTCTCGAAAATAGGACGGAGTAATAATTTTAAAAGAGTTCTAATACTCTCAAATTCTACTTCCTCAATTTTACATCTTGATGTGGCGGTCTCTGATAAGCTATTTTTTTTTATGTAGGTCTTAATACAAGTATCAACAAAATTTTATATGTGAGAGTAAAAGTAGGGAGTATAGAGTAGGAGTACACATAGTATTTTTCATTTTAAAACTATTTTTCCACACTTTTTAAATTGGATACATTTTGTCTCTCAGATTATTAAAATTGTTTCATTCCTAATTCTTTTATTGCTGAATAATAATAATAATAATAATAATAACTCAAAAGTTATTTTCACACTTTTAATTTTGATACATTTCCTCTCACACAACAAAAGTGGCAAGACTGACTATGGACTGACTATTTTGTTTAAGATTGGTTTAGATACATGGGAGTCGAGCATCCTCAATAGTAGTGATTTTTTGTGTGGTTTTTGAGGTGTCAATTAAGAGAGATATGAGGGAGAGAGAATAAGGAAAAAGATAAAAAATTAAATTAAAAAGCAGGTTTGACGTGAAAAAAATAAAAACAAAAACAGAGCAGTAGACGCGACAACGAGCGCGTGTAGTGCTGGGTGTGGTCTGTGCAATTAAGCCACATATGCGGTTGCGCCTCTCCTTTCATTTTTCTCTCTCTTGACGACCCTCACAAAAAATCATTCTGGTAGGAAGACTCCAATTATTCTCTCTCCTCCACATAAGTCATGTTCTCATAAAAAATGTGAATAAATCATACATGTGGATGCTCTTAAGAGTAATTCATTGTTGACGGTGCAAAAAGTTTGTTGGGATTTTGCTTGGCAAACATGACGCCAACACTCTTTGGAAATGATTTGGTACCTTAATAGGAGTGATTGAGTTTGCTCCGTTCGACATATTTATAGAGAAGCTAAGCTAACTGATATGTAGATTGGATGACAATATGACATTGACATCCTATCTAAGAAAAAATAAGGTGAAATTTTACATTTATACGACGAAACTTCACCCAAGAGGTTAAGAGACATTATCATTTGAAAATCTTGTTTGTGTAGCCTTACCATTTTGTATGTACTCAAATTTTGTTTTCCCACTAATATATAAAGGAAATGAAATGGATTCCTTCGATGATCATGGGGTGCAAAAACAAAAACAAACAAAAAAAAAGGTTTTTAATTACCCAATTGGCATTTCTTAAGAAAATATCATAAAAGTGAACATGTACATATCCAAATATAATGTTGGGCACATGATGAATGGCATGATATGATGGAAGTGAATTAGGAACAAAAGGCAATTAGCCATTATTTCATGTGTTTTGTATTCCAGTCTTCTTCTCCACCCTCATGTCTCCATGCTGAGCTGCACATCCATCTGTATCACCATGTGCCACTGTCATCCTTATAATTGAGTTGCAAACTTCATGTGAAGTTACTTCTATGCCCTCAATGCTTTTTTTTTTTTTTCAGGTAAAAAAGGAAACCCAACGTCAGTATTCGAGAATGTGCACTTGATAAGTCCCGCTTTGTGACTCAAGATGTGAACCAGCCTAGGGTTGCTATCAAACATTCACAATAACACATGAGGGTCATTCTAGTAAATCTCCTTCTAAAGTGTAATGCAGGGACACTCTGGCCAATAAAATTTCCCTCTTCCAATAAAGCTGTCTCTCCCCAAGACTGGGCAAACCTCATTCTGAAGAGAAGGTGATTGGCTAATGGCTATGGCTATGGCTACTCATCTCAGGGTTTCAAGAAACTCCCATTTTTGGTGCCTTCTCCTCCTCTTAATACAGACCACCACCTCAGTCTTCTGCTACCAATACAAGGTTGGAGATTTGGATTCTTGGAACCTCCCCTCCTCTGCAAATCCAAAAGTCTATGCCAAATGGGCTAAGGATCATGTTTTCAAGATTGGAGATTCACTGTGTAAAGCCTTTCTGCACATTCTTCTTCATTTTGTATTATATTCTCCCTTTTTATTCATGCATTTGGTCATTTTTTGCAGTGTTCTTGTACCCACCAAGCCAAGATTCAGTAATACAAGTCACTGCTCAATCCTACAGGGCCTGCAACCTCAATGATCCAATCTTGTCCATGAACAATGGCAACTCCTTGTTCAATATAACAGCACCTGGAGACTTCTTCTTCACCAGTGCCAAAAAGGGTCACTGTGAAAAATCACAGAAACTCCATATTTTTGTGCCTGGAGGAAACCTTACATCTTCAACCTATGATGATAATGCAGCTCCACCACCCACTGCAGAAGCTTATGCTCCTTCTTCTGCAGCTGCTGGACCTTCTGCCTCTAATGCTTTCGGCTCGAGCCCACTTCACGCTTCCTCGTCTCCATCGTCGAAGACTCCATTCGTTTCGCTGCTCGTCTCAATTGGCCTAGTTTTGCCCCTGCTGTTACCCAGAAACATATGAAAAAAGGCCAGAGATATATGGTCTTTTGCTTTTACTTTAGTTCATTCTTGATGGATTTACTGTGTTGTGACATTTTGGTTACTGCACCATTCTTTCAAGAGAACAAAGATTTGGTTGTACTATTATTGTTATGAAAGTGTCATATTCTTGTCCCAAAAAAGAGTAAAAGAAAAAAAAGTGTATTCTAAGCTCAAGCTTTTATGTATGCAAGTAGAGTAAAGGAGATTTATTCTATCAGAAGCGGCTTATTGGTCTTCTTGGTTTAAGGCGGGGTTTAACTAGTACACACTTTCAGGTAGTGGCTGCAGTTTCTCTCGTCACTCAAAAAAAGAAAGAATGCAAGTAGAGTAAAGGAAGAGATTTCACATTGAAAAGACAAAAGTGAGTCAGGAAAAAACATAAAGAAATTTTGGAAAAGCAGACAATCTTCACAGCCAATAGATCCCCTTTCAAGATAATTACACAAGTTCAAATCAGTATGTACAGAAACAAATTTTTGTGGTTCTTGAAACAGTTGATATGATCAATAAATAACCGGGCATCCCTCGACGATAATTCCTTTGGCTGAAGGGCACGAAGCATAGGGGCATCCATCAAGGTCATTTCCCCACCAGTTAAGGCTAACATTCTCCAACCCCAAACACAGATACAACAGAACTCCCATGAAGGCCAACCCAGCGTCGAGTGCACCAGACAGGACGTAGTTGTGGCGCTGCCATAAATCCGGCCTGTACCTAAAAACCACGTAACCAGACAGGAATCCCACGATAATCCATGTTGTGTAGTTGACAGCAGTGGCGGGAGGCATATTACTAGTGGCGCTAATCAAGACAGGCATGTTTATAAGCCTAATCCACTCTTGTCCTGGGAATGCCTTGGTGGCTAGCCACACAAGAACTGGTGCAATTGCCCCAGCTAGGAAAAACCAGTTCACTGCCTCATAAGTCCCTAAATCCCCAAATATTCGCCTCGGCCCAATCAAACCCCAGATAACAGATGCATCATAGAACACATGGTCAGATGGACAGGTCCATACGGTGTTCGTTGCTGTTGTCTGGCAAATCTCAGGAATCGTTTCCATCAACCACCACGCGGTGCCCAAGTACACGAAACCAGCTATCACTGTCCCCACTACCTGAACATATAAATCAGGACAATCTTATTGTAAAACGAAAACTGCCCAGCAAAGAGTAAAGAAATCGAAACTCACTTGTGCCATGAACATTGTTCTTGGTGGGATTTTCATGTAATGCCCAAGTTTGAAGTCTTGCAAGAACGCGATAGCCTGAGTCATACTGATGTAACCATAGACTTTGAAGCACATGTTAGCCACTGGGTATCCCGGATAAATGTACCCAATGATGTATTCAGTAATGATGTTCAAGCCTGGAGTCTGCCATATTCAAGAATTGATGAAACTAAAGAAGCCGATAGCCATTTAGACAAATAAGTGAATAAGTGAATAACCATACCTGATTAGTGATGGCGGTGATGATCCCGATTGGAAGGGTGAAGATAATGGCTATAACACATGCTAGTAAGACTCCCCACCAGGGCAGTTGAAGCTGCTCTTTGTAATACTCACAAGCAAAGACAGTAAGCGCGATATTAGCCACAAGAATACACCAAAACCACCACTCGGGGACTTGTCTATACTTGCTCATCAGTCTCGTGTGTATGTCCATTTTCCTATCCTTAAAGCTCGATTTGCTTTGCTCCCATATTTCCCTACAATTCATATCTAGTCCTATGAGCTATTGCAGGGAATATTAGCACGAAAACATTAATCACTAAAACGAGTACATACCTTCCATGAAACAAGACCACATGTACAAGAGTAGCAGTGAGAGCAGCAAAGCCAACGCCATAAGTGAGGGCGAAAAAAGTACTAAGGTAAAGCTTCCCTTCTTGGTCATAAGCTTCCAAATCGAGGTGAAAATTCGAGTCAATTATAGCCGAAATATTGTAGGTTTGTCCAGACGAAGTGAAGAGCTCATCTGAGAATATCGGGAACGTTTTGGCATTGAAGACATCACACCAATAGAAGATGGGAGTGAAGACATACAAAATAAGGAAAAAGCCAACAGCAATATTAGCAGTGGCAAACCAAGGACTGGCTAGAGGACTTCCAAGATACGAGGATATGGAGGACCAATCTAGGCCTATAGCTCCAATGCCAAGCCCTTGGAGACCAGAGCCAAGTTGCTGGGCAAGTACTGATCTCGGGAAGAACCAACAGATCCACGAGAGCGAAGTTAACATTTGGAACAAGTAGCCGGGGAAAACGTAGTAAGCAAAACTACAGATGAAGGCAATAACGAAGAACTGAGTGCGTGTTATCCCGCCTTTAGGCCTCTCTTCTTTCTCATGCAAAGCCCTGAGCTTATGTAATGCACACAATTTATTAACACGTATTTATATACAGTGAACAATAACACCAATTGTACAGAAAGTCAAAGACAAACAGGGAAAAAAACAAAACAAATTCTTAGATGAATCCATTAGAACTGTAAAAGGATTAATCTTGAATATCCATATAAAATCAAGAATTATGAGGGATAAGACTTGCCTGAACAATGAGACTTGTACAAGATTGGCAGGCCACCACATGGCAGCTGGCTCCACTAGATACCTTCTGAATATACCAGCCCATCCAAATCCCAGAACCTACATACCATTCAAGCCATATCATATCAAAGAACCAAAATTCCAGAAAATTAAAACTAACCCAGAAATGAAAAACAAAAAAATAACCAACCTGAGTTGTAAGAACAATGATAAGGGAAACAAAGAAGGTGATGTGCTTCCCATAGAAGACCTTAACAGCAGTGACCACATGGATGGCATAAACAGTGCCTGCACCAGAGTTTGCAAATATGGTAATGAGGACATGTTCTTTGACATTGAAAGGGCCTGGGTTTAGTGTGAATTCCCATTTGGTCCCTCTGAAGAACACCCTATCAGTGATCCTAGCAGCCATTAGCTGTCCCAGGGGAACCACTGCAATCTGAGCTGAGATTGCTGTGATGGTGAGAGGCTCAGTCCTGTACCAGAAGAACTGGTTGAGAAATGACAAAAGGACACAGGAGAGAGTGCCCAAAACCCACATTCTGAAGGTGAGAACAGGGAGAGAAGGGTCATCTGTTGTGGGAACTGTAAGAGCAACCTCTCTGATCGGGGAGTTCTCTTCTTCTGCAGCCTCTGGTAAAGATTCCACCTTTGACTTTGAGCTCGATGCAAAACCATGGCGCCCTTCATACTCCTCAACCTTTGGTACTGCAAATCAACAATACTACTTTCATTATCCATTTATATATCCATCCCCCATGAAAACAGACAGTAAAGATTTTAACTTTTGGGATTTGGGCTTTGAAAATGAAGAAGAAGAAGAAGAAGAAAGGATATGCATACAAAGAGGCGTCTTGATCTCATCCGCAGATACTTCCATTGCTTCTATTCTCTAGCTGTCTTCTCTCTCTCTCTCTCTTTCAAGTTATTCTATTAATTGCCCCCACTTCAGTCAATTCTTGGGTGAAAGATTATAGGAAATGACAGAGAATCAACCTTAACAATTATAATGTGCAGTTTTACAGATAACTTCTTGTGGGTATCAGTCATTAATATTCCCACCTAATGGATGGATCTTAAGCCTCCACAATTTTATTGAGTTGAATTTCGCTTTTTGTTTAGGAAATTATCGTATTAATATAACTGTTCATGGAATGATGCCATGTCATTATCATGCATGGTTGTCGTGTATAGTAGTGAATCTTTGAAAGAATAAATGGAATCAGAAGAAGGCGCAGTTGATATTTAATTTATTGGTAAGGTAAAATTATATGAAAAATATTATGTATACTTTTATTTTTATTCTCATTTTTTATTTTTACACATAAAATCGTGATGCAGACATTTGCATTAGGATCCACGTGAAAAAATAGTTTATCAGAACCTGCCACATTAGTAAATAAAAATTGGGTAAGATTTAAAAATACATGTAGTAGAACTCAAATTATTTAGGTTGATTGATAAGCACTTGTAGTACAACAAACAAGTTAGGTTTGGTGCTGGGCAACGTTAACGTGATAAGGTAGTTGGGGTACATATATAATTCATTTTGCGTCACGTTTCAAGAAAATGGCAAATTTAAAATAGTTTGTTAGAGATTGAATTTTAGCCTATTAGGAAAAAAATATTTTCTATATTTTCGAAATCATCATGAGCGTCCATCTATGATGCACTAAAAAGAAGAAGATTTTTTTGTGTTTCATAAAACATGTTCAAAACTTACAGGTCATCTCCGATCAAGACTTCAAAACACCATTTTGGTATAAATTTTAGCACATTTGGACTCTAAAGAATACGTCAAAATGACAAATTTTTTGTCGTTAGTGAATAGTGTTGCGTAACGTATTATTGTTCATACATGGTAAAATTTTTAAAATTTCATCTCCTTTTGCCATTGTTATTTTTTTGTATTAATTCATTTTCTATCTTCATTTTGTTTGTTTTTATTTATATATTTATATATTTACACATTGAGTTTTTTCCCATTTTGGTCCCTTGACTATTTCTCATTCTCAATTTTGCATTCCGACTTTTAATTGCACCCAATGTGGTCCTTTGACTTTAAAAAATTATCCCAATTTGGTCCTCCGTTACATTTTCCATCAACCAGCTGTTAAGTTCATGGGTATTTTGGTCCATTCATCTGTTGTGTGCCTTGGCTTCTTCTTTTTTACTTTTCTTTTTTTTTTCGTGGGCCCCATTCCTTCCGAAATTTACCGGCTCCGGAACCTCCGGCACCTCGACCTCGGCGGCACCCCTTGAACCCCAGAAATCGCCGGGGAGTCAAAGGCCTCGAGGAGATTTCCAATGATCTTCGTATAATGTCGACCCATGATATGAAATTGGCAGAAGAAATTATTGTAGCAGAAGCTCCGAATCTGAAAGGGGTTAGCTTGACAACAGAGGATGTAGCAGAGGCGACTTTGTACTCGGGCAGCGATGAGTCTAAGTATGTGAGCGGGGTGAACCTGTTGATCGATGGGGGGATATTCCACAACCAAGGTTAATCGAAGCTCTGCCATGGAGTTTCATGTCTATTTGGGTGAACCAGATTCCCAGTTTCTTGTAGCTAAACAGAACAATAAGTTTTTATCCCCGTCGCCGAAAAAGAAAGACTTGTGCGAACAACCGCGTCGCGACTCCGATTTCGTTGACCACCGCCCCCCGTCGATCGAGGCCTTGCATGGGCAATCGGAGTCCACCGTTGGAGTTAGGGATGCTAGGGATGTTGATCGCCATCGCCAATTTGCGAACTCTCAAGTCGCGATGCAGTCAACGTCAATGGAGGTTCTCCCGGCGGTCGCGGCTTTGCATGGTCACTACGAGGCTGTGGATTCCCAGCTTAGTAGCATTCGTGATAAATCTTGGAGGAAGCTAAGCAGTCGGAATTAGATGAACAACCACTTTTCTGGTGGCTCTGCCGGTGTCAAGGTAAGCAAGCCCGAAGCTCGAACTGGACCAGCCGGCTTCTCACCTGGTTGGCATGTGTAAGGAACACCATGTCCTGGTTTGGGAGGGGTTGTGGACAAAAAATAATGATTGTTAATTATAAAAGGGGAAAAAAAAGCACCAAAAAGAAAAGAGAAAGAGAAAAACCCTGCCATAAGTCACTAACCGGAATAAAATTATTATTGTAAATTAAAGCGGTCTCCGATTTTCTCCTGAAAATAGTCGAAGTATCGTCAGAGCATCGTCTAAACCCTGCCATAAGTCACTAACCGGTATTTGTGTTTTGATGAACTAAATTGACATGTTGATGTGCTAAATTATAACTGTTAATTTAAAAGCTTAAAAGTCTAATTACTTCTCGTATAAAGTTTGAATGTGTATTTGACAATTTTCCCTACAAAATTGTATTCAGGTCAAATATATAATTAAAAATCATAATATTTTTTTCCCCGGAGGAGTTCGTAGCACGCAATCAAACACGTGTGCAGAATTGCAGCCTTAGACTTGTCTTTGGAGGTGAGCGGGTCGCCCGGTAACTTCAACGGTTCGGGCAAAAGGCACGTGACGGGATGCGTTTACCACTTTACCATGCATGCAAATATGCAATGAAATATTCATTTACTTTATTTTGTTGCGTGAAGCACTGAAGCAATATATATAATATTGCACTTGCAGTCCTAATGGCTAATACGTCCTGTTAATTCAACCATTCATTAATTGCACGAAACTTCAATTAAATAAAAATTGTTATTTTCCCCACTGATTTTTCCTTTCAAATTTTCATGTTAATTAATATTATATTGTGTCTCAATTTTTTTTTCAATATTATATTGTGTCTCAGTTTTTTTTCTTCTTTGAAATAAAATAGTCTATCTCAGTTTCCTTAGAACTAAATTGAACGGTAAAATTTTTAATACATTTTCAAACCAATTTTTGGATGACATTTAATTCATTTTAAAATTTAGTTTGCACGCTACGTGCGCATAAAAGAGCCTTTCTAGCAACATATTTCTAATTCCCTTAAGAAAATGTGATGCTTTCAAAAATCCTTTACTTTTCAAATGTGGGGCAAAGGCCACCTAAAGCTTCCCCATTCCATGGATGGAATTCGATGAACCTCCCCCGGGTTGTAGAAATTAAACCATGTCTGCAATGACTAACTTGGTGTGTGTAGGCAGCGTTGTATCTTGAACTAATTGTTTTTTGTCCTTTTGTTTGGATCCCCCCTCCCATTTGTTTGGGTGCCCCCTCCAAAAAAAAAAAAAAAAAAAGCCTTAAAACTTCATAGTACGTACACTTTGAGAATTAATTTTTCATTCACTAATTATATATTTTGAGTGTACAATATATTAATTTCTTTGTCTCTTGAGCCGACCAAAATTAGAAGTAGTGGACTTCACGTATATTTGTACCACAAAATGATCACTCAAAATTTTAAATTTTTTAATATTTTCCAACGATCATCCACGTGAATGAAAATTGATTTTCAGTACTAAAAAACAATACACTTGCAACGGACGATCCATGCATAGGATATAGGTAGGTGTATGTTACCCTTTGAAACTTTTCTTGTAAAGATATATTTACTTTACTAGCTGTCTACACATACATAAACCTTCCAGGCTTCCAACCTTTGTTCTGGTCACATGGGTGTACCCGTTTTTGTCATTGAACATCATTCTTTGTTCTGCAATAGTTTATAAAGAATTAAGCCAAATTAATTCTCCTTTTAAGCAGCCTCACATCTTTCTCACATAGGTAATTCATTTTCTCGCATACTTCACATATGTCAATCGATACTTCAGAATCATTAAAGCATGCACACATACTAACCTCGTGCAGGAGTCATTATTATGAAAAAGAGAAAATTACACTTTTGGTCCTGTGACTATTGAGGTCTTGTTAATTTCAGTACTCAACTTTAAAAACTAACAATTTAATCCCGCAACTATGCAATTTTTAACACATTTGATCCACCAGACCAAATCACCGGCCAAATGTCGCTAGAAAAAATAAACCTTTTTAAATTATTTATTCATGGGGGCAAAATGGTTATTTCTTCTCCTTCCTTGCACAGGTCTCAGAACTGAATGCTCCGACACCTACAAAAATGGCGATTATGAGCGAAGAAACACACCTTCCACTATGAACTGAAGGGTAGCACAATCGCCTTCAAAATCAGCCATTTCTTCTTCTTCCCGTTTTGTTTTCTCTGAATGATAACCCAGATTAGGGTCAAATTTTGAACTGGATTCTGAAATGTCCCTGCATGGAAATTGTTTATCAACCCACAAAAAAGCGAATTCGGGGAGTCCATTTCTCTCTCCTATAGAAACGGTCTCCCCTTGTCCGTTTCTAGTCATACGAAACAACACATATGTATTCCTACGTATTTGAATTTGAATAAATACTGAGCGAATTTGAATGAATACTCGTACCAACTTTTGTTTGGTTGCCTTGCATTCGACAGAAGAGAACGCCAAACACATATATATTATTTCTTAACAAATTAAAATATTTAAAACAATTATATTCTTTCTTAACAAATTAAAGTTTTTTAAGAGGTTACTAAATGGAAATATTTTAAGATGTTAACAAAGAAACGGACTTGACAAGTATGTACTGATTTTTATTTTTATTTTTCATCACGAACCAAACAACAGAAAGAAATAAGACCTTACTATGATGCTAATTTTTCGTTGTTCAAGAAGAAGAAGAACACTCTTCTGTTGCTGGAACCACCGCCTACTACCGTCACCAACGCCTGCTATATAATTATCATTTTATTTGGATAGAAATAATTGTAAATATATTTGAGTATTGGTGGAGGATTATAATTAATTTTTTCAACAATAGCTATGGAATCTAGAGTCGTAGCCCTAAGGATGCTATTAGTGCTTTTCTTAGCATTAAATTTGCTACAATTACTTTTTTCAACAATTTCTGTACACATTTAGCACCAAGCAATTTCTGTACGTGTTGAGCTACTATTAATTTTTGTTATGTAATTATGTTGTATATTTTGTTCTATTGTATTTTATGTGTGTGCGTGTTTTATATCATTGATTTGTTGATAATAATGCTTTACACTGCATTCTATTTTTACGAGTAAATACCCAAAATAGTCCCTCGACTATAGCTAAATTCACAAATTGATCATCGACTTTCAATTTCAACCAATTAAGTCCTTAACTTTGTAATTTTGACACAATTTAGCCCGACCTCCATCTATTTGACTGTTTGTTGACCGTGATCGACAATCTCTAGAAGAACCTTCAGCTCTCGTCTGAGCACGTAGAGGCCTCCAGGATGACGTTGCACCGGTTCGGAAACACGTCGTCTTCTTTGCTCTGGTACGAACTCAACTACATTGAATCCAAAGGGAGGATGAAGAAAGGCGACCGGATTTGGTAGATTGCTTTCGGCAGTGGATTCGAATGTAACAGTGCGGTCTGGAAATGCAACCGGAACCTTAAAAAACCGACGATGGACCATGAAATTACATATATATCCTCAAAAATCACAATCAACAAACGGTCAAATAGACAGAGGACCAAATTGTGTTAAAATTACAAAGTTAAGGACTTAATTGGTTGAAATTGAAAGTCGAGGACCAATTTGTGAATTTAGCTATAGTCGAGGGACCATTTTGGGTATTTACGCTATTTTTACTTAAATATCTCATGTCATGATCAATTTAACATGTATAGTTAAAGCCAAGAAGAGTTAGGTGCTAGTTAATCCATCAATTTATATAGAAACTAATTAAGGCTTGGGTACCTAATTGCTAATAAGTGTATAAACAGTGCATGTTTTTTGTTTTTTGTTTTGTTTTTGTTTTTTTTTTTTTAAAACATGATCCGCCATTCGCATCCATAATAGCCTAACACTTCCCAACAAGGATGAATGGATGATTAGGTATTCTTATGTTCATATCACAATTCATATCTAAAAAATTCGAAACTAGTATGATTTATGGTGTGTGTACATATATATTAGTAAAAATTTAAATTTTTGTAGCGTGTTGTATGATATTTTTATTTTCTTTGGTATAAAAAAAAGTCAGAATCAAATTAATTTATATAGCTAAGGCCTAAGAGAAGTTTCGTGCTATGTAGTCATTAATTTAAATAGCAAGTAACAAAGGCAGTCGTTATATCGTGGACCGCGGTGTATAATCGATTATGCATCGCGCATCAAAACGGCGTCGTTTCTTTAAGTAAAGAAACGACGCACTGTTAGTGTTAACGGAATGACACTACAGTGTATCTAAACCGACACTGTCTCACGTATTATTTTTATATTATCAAATGAAACTGCAGTTATATGACTTATATCAAAATGATATTGTAGTTGTGGTGTAATGAAACTGCAGTATATATATACAATGAAACTGAATAACATTTCACATATTTGAGTGTATATTGTACAATGAAGCTGTAATTATATTGAAATGATCATGTAGTTGTGTTTTAATATAATGAAACTATAGTGTATATAAAATAAAATTAAATAACATTTTCACCTATTTGAGTGTATAAATATTGAATGAAACTGTAATTATATCGAAATGAAACTGTAGTTGTGTTGAAATGAAACTGCAGTGTATACAAAATGAAATTGAAGAACAAAGTTATTTTTTACGGAACGGCGCGAAACAGATTCCGTTTATTTTCATTAAATAAAACGACGTCGTTTTGATGAGCGGTACACGATATAATTTGCCTAACAAAGGCTATAACGGATCCATTACTAAGTTTATTGATGGCTATAACGAAAGATCCAATAGGTAAATGTTAAACTGGTAATGCTTGAGTCTTGTTTGGCATACCCATACCCATACCCGGCCTATAAATACATGTTTACTTGTTTTCTCTTATCTTCTTCTTCTTCTTCTTCTCCTGAAGCTATAGTGAGCTGAGGTTCGTTTCTCCTTTGGATCATTTCAAGCTTCGATCACTTCAACCTTCTACGTCAGAGCAAGCCAGCTGATCCAGGTTTCTTCACTCTTCAATCTTTATTATGTTTTCAATTTTCAAGATATATATGTTTTCATGGCCATATATATGTATATATTTTGGAAACTTTTATCTGGTATTGATTTTTCTTGGATGTAAGTAGTATATAAGTACTTATGTGGTGATGCATTCTTCATCTTTGCTTTTAAAGCTATTATATATATTATGGATGGAGTGCTTGAAGTCTGTATAGAGATATGTATGGATCCATCTGTTTTATTATTTTTTCTTTTTTCTTGTTTTCCAATTTGGGTAAGGTTAAAAATTATATAATTTGAATCCAAGGTTTAACAACCTTAAAATATTGACCACAAATTTAATTTCTTTTTTCTCACAGATTAGATATTGGAAATGAACAACTTTGGAGAAATACTTCTAATACTCCTCACTTCTCTTGCTCTGCTAAATGCCTGTAAGTATATATTTCTTTCATTTTCTATTTATTTTATTTTGTTTCATAATTGCATGAATGAAAAATGGGATGGATTTATTTCATTTGTAAATTTTTACTAGTCATTAACTCATTATACCATGTTTTGCATTTTTTTAATTTTTTTTTCTTTTTTTTTTTTTTAATAATTATAGTGTGAGGAGAAAGTTCTCATGTAGCTTCCGACACTAGTAGTATGTAATTTGTATAACTTTTTTTTGGGTACAAAGTTCGAAGTATAATTTGTCATTTCACGCTATAGTGGCATATTTTTTTTGGGATCAAAATTGCTTGTTCCCTCAATTTTAAGGGAAAACAAGTTGAGGTAATAACTTTTCAAGTGTATTAATCATCTCTAACATTAATATCTTTTCATTCTTTATAGTTTCTTATCCAAATTTATTATAACATAACCTTTTTGGTAAATAATCCTGGTAAAACTCTAATTATTGAAATGTAACAACAAGGTTAGACAAAATTTTATAAGAATGTTTTACATATATAATTATTATCATATATATATAATTAAACTTCTCTTTTCAAGAAGTAACAAACAAATCATATTAAATAAATACATATTTCTCCGTATCTTTTTATATACATATACATTAATTAATATATCTAAAAGAGTTTTTGAAAATCAAATATACAAAGGATGAAGACATATACAAAGAATGAAGAGTTACACATTTATTGTATTTACAATAGTATGTTAATAATTATTTGAAATAATTCATTAGCGTAATTAATTGATTTCACACACTAAATTTTTTGTATAAATATATAAGAAGTTGAGGGGTTTCATAATTCAATTAATCTATTATTTTACTAACTTTAATTTAGAGCTTTTACGATGGCAAAGTTTTCATCTTCTGTATACGTGGTTGCCATTATTGTTCTTTTTTCAGGTATAATTTCATACACATATGAAGTGTTTATTTTATTTTTATTCATTTATTCTATTTTTAATATCTTTTTTTTTTTTTTGAAAACACCCTACTTTTAATTCTAAATACTTAAATACCCTCACTTTGTAAAGATTTCACTAAATTCATGTGCATTTTGGGGATAAAAGTAAAATGTTAGTTCTTGCCTTGCTAGTTGAAGTCGTCACAAAGGGTCTTTTTAGTGTGACTGATCTTTCTTTTGTGATTTGCAGATTATTATACAGGAGTAGAGTTTACTAAGTGCGCAGCATATGATATTGGCCGTGAGTTTCCTTCGTCACCCTATTCTTCTTTTTTAAATGAAACATTTCAATTAGTAAAATTTGGTACTCCGTATTTTACTAGTTGAATTTTAATAAAAACAATAATTTGTGTCGAGTATTTTAATATATAATTCTTTCTCAAACCTGTTTATTAAGCTTATCGGTTGGAGCCGATTAATTTTAGACAGTTTATTTATTTTATTGTCGTCTTTTGCTGACTAGATTACAATGTATTCAGATAGCAATTACGCACTTTCTCCGTCAATAATTAAAGTTTTAAAATATGAGATATGGTGAAATAATTAAATGGATATTGAATTTTGACGATGCGCAGCTAAGTTCCTGAGTCCCGATCCGACATATCAGCATATTAACTACTGTTTGTGGAAGTCTCCAAAATCCAATAATGGTTGCGCCAAGGAAGAGGATTGTTGGAAACCCTGTCGCCATACTTATTCTATAGTAAAAGATGTTTCATGTTCAAAATATTTTATTCTCTTTGGAAAAAAATATTGTAATTGTTTTCAATGTGATGATTTCTAACGAAAATATTCATATATAGGTAGGATCAGTCCTATTCTTTTATAGGTTCGGGAAGTAAAAACAAGGATCCGAAAGTTAAAGGATTGTATGAGTTAATTGCAAATAAATAAATAATATTTTTGTATATATATAATTCTTTATTTTTTTAAAAAAAAAAACATTTTTGATTAGCCTTCGAACATTTTTTATAGTCCATTTTTGTTGGGTCCAGGGCGGGTGCCCATCTTGTCCACCCTCGGAGTCGAACCTGTATATAGGAGAGAGGACATTTCTAAAATAGTAGTATGGTCTTTTCTGAAATTGATTCTATTATTTTTAATTGCACAAAAAAAAAAAAAAAGGTTATCCAACAATTGAAATTTAAGCCATATTGGTCCTCCATTAGTATTGGCGTTAAAATGGAGGGCAAAATAGGAAATTCAGCTCGTTTACTCCATTTTAATAAGATTACGACCCTATTTTTGCAGATTGCAAATTAAAACTTTTTCGTAAAAACTATGGTGGAGTTTGGTTGTGGACTTTTGCATCCTACTATGAGTTTTGATATCATTACCATGTTTGTTCGCATACTTTTGTTATATTAGGGTTGAAGTCAAATCATTTAGTAATTACAAAACTTATTACCCTTTTACTTATACTTTTGAACATGGAATCAAAAATAAGAGAGAAAAAAATGAAAATAAAAATAAAAATAAAAATTCATTATCAATGCATTAAATATGAAATTTCAAAATATATATATATATATATATATATATATATATATATATATATATATATATATATATATATATATATATATATATATAATTTATTTTTATTATTTTGTATTTATTTATTTTGATTCTTATTTACTACCAAACAAAGTAACTCCTTCAACTTAAGCCTATTGCAATTACCAAGTATTTTTTTTATTTTTATTTTTATTACCATTCCGATTTTCAGGGGTTGGTGGCGGTTTGTTTTGGGTGATACTCGAATTTTATTTCAGATATCCAAAAATTTTGGGTAATTTTTTGACACCCGATATCTAAATCAAATTTAATTCGGATATGTTTGTTTTAGGTGAAATTATTTCGGGTTAGTTTGGATATACCCAAAATTTTATTTTTATCAATTTTGAGTTTTTTAATACTCCATACTTTTTTATTTGTGTATTTATATTTTTTAAATATACTATCAATCTAAAAACAAGACAAAATATTAATAAATAACTAAAAGATTTTTGAAAATTAATATATTTTTAACAATGAAATACATTTAAAACTAAACATATAATTTATATTTTTATATTTATAATAAAATCCTGGTTAGTTCGGGTTTCGATTTGAATATGAATAAAATTTTAACGCCCGATATCTAAATCAAAAAAAAAAAAAAAATTACAAGATATGGTCCGATGTGGATTTCAAGAATGGTTTGATCTCATTGTGGATTTAAAGAGTATAATGGTTTGCTCAAGTATATCCTAGAAACGTAAATTCTAAACATAAAACTTTCAAACTAATAATAAAAATAAAAAATAAAATGAAAACAATTTTGGCTAATGTTGCTTCCTCCACAAACCCACAATCTCCCACCCGAATTTTCATTACTCCATGAAGTTAGGATGCTCCATTGCGTGCCACACTGACAAAAATGAAATGAACAACATCTTCATGGTGAAATCTTTGCCTTGGAAAGTTTGAATATGAAGATGAACTATTTTGACCTTTGTTGTTTATGATCCACATTTTGATCACAGTTTGAGGAGAGAAGTACCTAGTTTTTATAGAAAAGTTTTGCAATTTACATAAATGGGGTCGTAACTAATTAAAATGGAGTAAATAAGCTGAATTTCCCATTTTGCCCTCCATTTTAACGCCAATACTAACTGATCGAGAACCAATATTACTTAAATTTCAATCGTCAGATGATCAGTTTGAAATGTTACCAACACATTCCCCAACTTAAAGAAAAAAAAAAAAAACAAAGAAAATGGAACGTTACCATATATGGTGAGGCATAATGTTGGAAATGCGACGTTATGTAGTTTGGTGTAAAATGTGCGTGGCAATCTCGTAAATTGATGTGATAGTATATTAGTATTCAGAGGAGATCAGAGCCATAATACTTTTATTATTGTCTTCTAATTAAGAATTAACCAAACTCCAAAACATCATTTACGTACACAAACACCAAAACCCAAACCCTACTCTCTCAGCAATCACCATGCCAAAACTACCAGGTTCGCATTAGATCACGCATACCATAATCCACTTCATTTTCATCATCGCATTGCATTTATATATTTCAATCTCAATTATCTTACTTTTCTGCAATCTTGATTCTGCTCAATCTGTGGTTATGGATTATCATACCCAATCGATCATCATTGCCTTTTCGATCCTCGATTTTGATTTTTTTTTTTTTTTAATTTTTATTTTGGATGGGATGTGGCGTTGTAATGAAGGATGGTTGAGTAGATAACCCATCATAAACTTTCCCAAGTTTCTGTTAAGAAAAAAAAAAAAGGGTAAATGTCTTTTGCCATGTTCCAATGAGCTTGGTTTTACTGGAATTTTATTTTATTCGATCTGTTTTTTATATTCTTGTGTGTTTGGAATGATCTTGAGTTTCAGCAGCTATCAATTTGTGGGGTTGATCATCAATGGCTGAGTTTGTTGGTCTGAGGTTGTACAGTTGCTGTAACTGTAAAAACCAGGTTGCTCTTCATGATGATGTCATTTCTAAAGCATTTCAGGTGAGGACTTACTTCAATTCTTTCAACTCAGTTAAACAATCACACTGTAAATTTTGCATTTTGATCTTTTTAGCGTTGTTAGAATGAGCAATTCCTTGCTTGATTGGCAAAGAGAAAAAGGGGGAATGTAGTGTTGCTAGGACCAAGATATTTACCTAATTATGTATACCAATGAAAAATGGTGTTATTGATTCTGGTTAAAATTGAAATTGATGAATGCTGTTCGGGAAATTGCTTTACGTTTGGAGTTTAATTATACTTGTGTTCTGTGATTTTGTTTGTAATTATTAGTTGATTTTGTTAATAAGATGCCATTGTTTATGGTTTTAAAGATATATTTGTATCCACGCGTATAGGGAAAAAATGGCAGAGCATTTCTATTCTCGCATGCGATGAACGTGGTTGTAGGTTCAAAAGAGGATAGGCAGCTCATGACTGGGCTCCATACCGTTGCTGATATCTATTGCTTCGACTGTCATGAGGTGCTGGGGTGGAAGTATGAACGCGCTTATGAAGAAACACAAAAATACAAGGAAGGGAAGTTCATACTTGAAAAATCAAAGATCATGAAGGAGAATTGGTAGCCTACTCTGCACTTTCAGTTCCCATTCAATGTGTGTTACGTTGGTGTTCAGTGGGTGGTGTGTGGATGTTCATACATCTTAGTATTGATAATCATTCCCTTCAACAAAAAACCTTCATTTATTGTTCCTCGCTGTGCATAAATGCTGTGGTTTCTTGTCTGGAATTATTGTATTGAAAATCATGGATGTTTGAGATCATTTGTTAGTTAATATACATACATTGAAATTCACAATTCTTCTTGTTTATCAGTTTCATTGCAATGTACTTTTAGAGCATCCTCAGTTTTTGAGGAGTTTTTGCGATGTGACTAAGAATAGAAGATTGGAAGGAAGGGAAAAAAAATCATATATATAATTGTGCATGTTAAGGCGTGTGTAATGCACGCGCCCGACTGGGCGCCTCAGTGCTGCTTCTTTGTTTTTGGTGGGGCCCACTTTAAAGACTTGTTTTCTGTGAGCCCACTTCAGAGACCAAAAACCAATGCCTTGCAGGAAGCTCTAGTTTCTTCTGCCCTTAGAAAATAAAAGAAGATCCTCCTTTTAGTAGAGGCTGTAGAGCTGTCAAAGATAATCATAATCTAACAATACAACACAAGTTGAAGGTTCATTAAAATAAAGAAGAAAAGTAAGGTGAAAGGGAACTAGCTCTTTATCATGGAGGTCGCATGATGGGTGTTGTGACATGTCTTTGTTAAATAATTGCAACTTTATGGTAATGGCACCTTTCACTCTCTAATTCAATCCTCTTAGACACAGTCAATAATTGCTGGGATGCATTTCTTCAGGGTAACATGTGAATAGATGTTTATAGCCTAAGAGCAATTAGATGTTCAAATATCCAATCAATTCTTGTCACATAATGTAGTATGTATATGAATCAGATTTGGTCCAAATACACAATGTAGTATATGAATCAAATTTGGTCTAAATAACAGAGCAGTTTCTATAGAAAAATATCCACACACAAGTAGTTGCACTAATTAGACAAATAGTAGCATGAAGGAATCTGCATAGTCAAAGGACACATCTTTTTGGTAATCCATTTCTTTTTAGCATTCTCAATTGCCTCCTCCCTCATCCTCACAAGTTCTCGACAGCATTGCTCATACTGCATATCAATGGCATCGATTTCCTGATTGAGATCAAGATAATGATCTTTATCATTATCCTTGTCTGTTATGGAGAGAGAAGAAATGCATATGTTCATATCATTGGACATGGTAGTGAATGAACCAGCTGAGGAGATCCCCGAATCCCTTGTGCACTCACTCATCATAAATTCAGAAGGGTATCCATCATAGCTAAGGCCACCATTTTTGAAACCCTTAGTTTCATCATAGACTTTGCCTAGGGGCTTCTTGTGCTTATCTAGAGAGGCTGACATTCCATGTTCTGAAGATATATTCACCTTGTCTACTTCCTCAGTATTGTTCTTCCCTCCTGATGCATGAGAAAAGATATGCTGCTCCACAGATCCTTGGCCAAAAACCCAATTTGATTCATGGTTTTTGGAAGTACTTGCAACAGCAATTGAGTTGTCATATGGACATTTGCCCGCACCTAAGCTTCCACATGAAGATTTCCAACTTGGTACGAGTTTCAAAGCTAAGCAATCAATCATGTCCGCGATTAATGCTACATCTTCGTTTGGCAATTCAAGTTGTTCAACCATCTCCCCAGCAATTGAGACAGTAGTATCATGATCAAGGAAAAACATGAAATGAATATTCCTTGCTTGACCTGTCCAAAAGACAGATGTAAAAGGTTATTGATATATTAAGTCAACTTGCCCATAACTACTTCAACAGGACCATAACATACCGCTATAGTCAGTAATACGCAGGCTAAAAGAAATGGAACTTTCATCATACTTCTCCCCTCTTAACCTAAATTCATTTTTCCCATTGCACCTAAGAAACTCAGTGACTTGAGGAATTTCAGTGACGCTGCTTTCTATACAAGGAACACTTGATAACTTTCTGGAAGTGGGATCTATCTCCATTGAAAGAGAATCAGACTTAGTCAAGTTTATGGACTTTGACATATGATTTGAGTTCTGCATAACATCAGATTGGAGTTCACTTGAATTTGTCCATGAAAGGAATGGATCTTTCAAGAGCTCTGCAGCACTTAACCGTTCAGATGCTGGGACTAAACACTTCTCTATAAATTGCTTTACTTCAGGATCCTTAATTTTATCCAAAGCTGCAGGTTTTATGCCCTGGAAGGACAATTCTCAGAATATTTAGATGAGAAATATATGGAACACTTCCATATATAATTACATCCACACGTAAATTCTTAGCAGTTAATGGGTCTTACCGAAGTAACCTTTTTAAAGATTTGTGCTTGATTTCTGCACTCGCTGTAGGGATATTCACATGTTATCAGCTCTAACAAGCACATACCGAAAGAATAAATGTCAACAAGTTCATTGTACTCTTCGTCATAGAGCTCAGGCGCCATAAACTCAGGAGTTCCTGTTTGTGATTGAATGAAAAAGAAAATAATAAGAGGTTGCAAAGATTGGTTAATAATTCATGTCAACGAATATGGACCAGCAATTCCAAGCAAGTGAAATGGTTACCAATAACACTTTGTGCAGTAGGCTGCTGCATTATTGTAGCCAATCCAAGATCTCCTATTTTAACTTCACCATGATTCCCATTGATGAATATATTATCACACTTCAGGTCCCTATGAATAATAGGTGGATTGTGACTGTGGAGATAGTGTAAACCTCTGAGAATTTGCCTAGCCCAGCTCTTGATGGCCTTTATGTCAACAACCTTATGTTTCTTACGATATCTATGCAATAGAGCATCAAAAAGAAAAATAATATCCAATTAATTTAAGATGGAAAGAAAAGCATGAAGAAATATGAGCACAAAAATAACACAGCGTGTTTGTGTGTGTAGCTATGTAGGTATAACTTACTGCCTCAAGCTTCCTGAAGTGAATAACTCTGTGATCATGTTGATCGTTTTGTTCTGATCGTCCACCCAAGAGTCCAGTGATCTTATGATGTTCTCATGCTTCAATGTTCTCAACAAGTGAGCCTCAGAATACAATCTCTCCAGATTGGCAGGAGACTGCAATGCATCGTCTATACTGACTTGGTTCCAAGCAACTTCAATTCCCTCAACTTCATCAAACCCTTTATATCTACAAATACCAATAAATGAAAGTTAATTCTATAATACACAAAAGCAATATTTTGAAAGATTGAGCAATCTATGAGCTCAGAAAAAAGAGGTGGAGCAGGAAACCTACACAATCTTAAACGCTCCTCTTCCCAAGATTTCATTATACTGGAGGAAAGAAGACAAAGAAAAAGGTGATGGCACCAGCAAACCCAACATGTTAAGGAGTAAATAACTAAGAACATATAGTCCAAACACCAACAAAAAAAGAATCAAGAAAACTAAAATAATCAATCATTCAGTCAATAAGCATATACATATATATGCTCACATTAAGCAGCAATATGATAAAAATTGCTACCACCATGCACAGATAAGACAGTTTACCATCAAAAGCATATCAAGATCACTATAATTCATAATTATTTAGAAGACTAATTAAAGTTTCATCTTTGAGGAATCCAAAGTAAGGCCATGATGGAGACGAAGAAGGAGAAAGTACCCGGCTGTATCGATTATTAGACGAAACTTCAACAACATCGGCCTCGGCAGCATCGAACTTTCCTTTGGTTTTCAAAGGAAAAACAAACCCCGACGCCCCCAAATCCATATCGACTAAAAACGAAAAAATTCACCCCCCAAAGAATCAAACAAAAGAAGAAAAAGGAGAAGAGGAAAAGAGCGTATTAGAGAAACGGATATTCAGAAAACGCTTCGCAGGCCACAGAATATGAATCTACAATTCTCCCGAATCGGAATTCGCGTACAAACATGTTGACTCTCTGCGAATGGAAGCTGAAAATCCCAATCCCCTTTCTCGCCATCTTCTATTCTATCTTACAACTGCTGACGAACCAACGAACACCGATAGGTTTTCGATTTCTTCACATCATATTGTAGTGATCGAAATCAGGGGCTCAAAATTAGAGCGCCGAATTGAAACCCTAGAAACTAAAGAAGAATACAATACAATACCCTAGCCGAAAACCAAACCGCAATTGATCGAAGAAAATGTCGAGAATCGGAGGAGACAGAGGAAGAAGACGACTTTTTATTCCCCAAAAAAAAAAAGGAATATTAATAGAGAAAAAATAAAAAAGCTCGGAATTGGAGTTTGATTCCAAGTTGTATTCAGATTTCACTGTCAGGTTAGAAAATACGAAATGGAGGCCAGATTTGAGATTTGAGAATTCTCTTCACACTAAAATTAGAAAATGATTAAACAACCATTTAATAAATGTGTAAATTATCACGATGCAATATTTATATAATTTTATTCCTTTTCTACACCAACCACTTTCTAATTTCTATAAACCTTCTTCAACAATATTTGATTTTTCTCAGCCCCGGAAGGTGTAAGGAATATCCTTGAATGAGGTACTAGAAATGTGGTTACAAAGAGAATTTATTAACTCTTAGGACTTTTCGATTTTTCTTGTGCACTAAAAAAATATTAAGGATGAAATTTTAATCAAATTGATAATTTATTGACTTAGTAACTACAAAATTTGTTTACTAACTTGTGATTCTTTGCTGATTAGAGGTACAAAGAGTAATTTATCATGTGCACATTATTGTGATTCGCGAGTTTCTTTTGTTACTGAAAAATTTTCACCAAAATATATGACAATATAAACATATTTATTTTTTTTAACGATGGGTGATGAATCGACCAATTCATGGTGATAAATTAATTAAAAAAAATTGATCCATGTAGCTTTATTCTTATAATTTGTCAATTTGACCCTTTATAATTTATATATTATTAGAGTTTAACGCCAGTTTTGACGGAATTACTTGTGAACTTCTATACCTTTCTCATGATTACACCCAAGTTGCAGAGGCTGAAAAAGTCCTCTAAAGCATATATTCCTTTTTTAAAGATTTATTTCCATTTGACAACTGGAAAGCAGAATTGCCACTACTCTCTTAAAGAGTAAAATATATATTTATAAAAATAAGGATTTCTGACCACTAAAGGTGTCGTGGTGTAGTTGGTTATCACGTCAGTCTAACACACTGAAGGTCTCCGGTTCAAACCTGGGCGACGCCAAGATGTTGAAGTTCTTTTCTCATCTGTAAATAGCAGGTCCATAATATCATTTTATGAATTGGATCTTTAGTATTTTGTTAGATTTAATGATAATTTTTTTATTAACTCATTTAAAAATCATATTCACATTTATATTTAGAACCTGAACCTATCACCCTGTTTATATCATTATTGTGTCAACTCATCAGTTAGAACTATTATTTTCCCACTCTTTGTCAACACAAATTCATTAATAATAATATAATTCAATTCCAATAGTACAAAACTTAATGCAAAAAATTTAAGCTAAGGAAGGACATAAATTCATATCACATATTGAACATTCGCCTCGTTGGATTTCCTTTTTCTACTCCCAAATATTGTCTACTGAACTATTGAGTTAAGCCCGTGCGGGCTCTCATTGGATTTCCTTGATAAAGGGCTTCCCAACGCGTTCTGCTATCTCCTTCTTTGGGAGACTTGTCTCAGTTCCCGCGTATTCCATGGTATGACTCTGCTCCACCTTGACAATGGCAGCTAAGGAAGACCATGCGTCGCCAGTCTGCTCGTGAACCCAGCACATAATGAAGTAAACCTTCCTCTCAGCAGACCTAAGCCTTTTCTTCATCTCTGATCTTTCAGACTTGTGTTGTTTGGCAGACTTTAGTTCTTTCTCTGCCGACTGAATCAGCCTCTGTAGATCAGAGAGCAAGCAAACTAAGGCTGCACCACCGAGATAGAGAAGTTCTATCACATCTTCGATGAGTCTGAATCCGAGTTGTAGGCCGCCCATGTGTCTAAGAGCGGGAGAGCATGTTTGCTCCAAACAATGTGACAGAGCCTCCAGTACAGTCTCCGGTTTTGCACCTTCACCCATAACTGAAGAAACGCTCAGCAAAACTGTGGCGGATCCTGTTGGGTCGGATTGCCAGTCCCCGTTGTATATGCGAAGGGTGAAGCAGTAACTGTATACAATGTCAACCAGGTGAACTGCCAATAATGGGGATGGTGTGGCGACACTCAGCTTACTAACCGAGGGTAATGGTGATTCGGGGCCAGGTGGAATGTCATGCAAAGGTTCACTTTCAATATCATCGGATTCTTCTTTAGAAATCGGCTGGACAAGTTGAGTTCCATCCTGGCCAAGAGAGATGTATTTGGCTGACTGCTTCGTCCACCATGGCTCCCATGGCTTAATCAATTTGCTCAGCTCACCTGAGGCTATGGCTTTTTGGTAACGTTTCTGCTCTTCAGGAGTTAAATCATCAAGACTTATCTCATTTCCTGTGAATAGAAAAGACTAAGTGCCCCTATTAGATTGAATCAGAACAAATTCATTGGCACAGGTGTCAAATGTAAGTGGCATACCAGATAGGATCTTTTGAATAGTTGATTCTGACCATGAGAAATCTGGTTCTGAGACAATTGAAAGAAAAAAAAAAAAGAAAAAAGACCTTTTATATCTGGAAAAATTGAGTTTAAATTCTTTTTACTCACTCCTATAATCTAAAAAGTAATACAAAAAATCAACTTCACATAGATTAATTCCCTGGGAAAAAGGAATGCCAGATCCAGTGCACAAAAACCAAAACCTATTATAATTCTGCATCAGTTATCAATAACATAGAGAATGTACTTTATATTGTTCACAACACTAACCATCTTCGTCCAAAGATTCCATCTCATCTTCTGAATGCAGTCGTTTCAGTATTCCCAACATTTTCTGTTTACTTTGCTCATCTGGTTGTGATTGGTGCAGTTCCTCCATAACATTCTCCCTCATAAAAGACTCAGTGCAGCGAAGGCTATGTGACTGGGAGAGTCAGACGGTCAAAATCAATAACAAGAAAATGTACTAGATAAGCATTTGAACATATTGCTACTAAAGAACTAAAGTATGGACATATGCTAATATATCCAAAGATACATATCAAAGACCATATACAATGTCTTAAAAGAAGCATGGGTTTTTTCCATCACCTTATAACATGGAAGAGAGCAATAGCGTGTATTGCATCGAGGGCAAGTGTACAGTGAAAATTGCTTTTGACATCTGCACGAGAAGTAGATGTGAGTTACCCATTTTATGACCTATTGGGGGTAAAAAAAATTTATTTATCTACTTGAATGTGAAGAAAACACCAAAATTGGGGGCAAACCTAGCCAAGTTGGTCAGGCTATTGGCTTGGTAACCACAAGGTTACAAGTTTGACTCCCAGTGGGAGCGGCTTAATGGTCTTCTCGGTTTGACGCAACCTACGCTGGTTTACCTCCACACAGTAGTAACTGCGAGTTTCTCTTGTCACTCGACAAATAAAAAGAAAGCACCAAAACTCAGAGCTCACTCTATCTAACACCCCCATAACAACGATCCACTATAATTTAGTATAGCAGCCATTGGCAGCAAAGCTTTATCAATATAAGTTTTCAGACTCCAACTGAACGCAACTAATCCTTAATCTGAATTCAGATTGGGATACCTTATAAATCCTATTTCTCTATTCAGCACTCTTCTGTCTTCTTTAGTAAGCATATACCTGCCCCTCTATTGGCTATCCCCTACACCCATGTCTATAACTTATACATTATTAATTTTTCATTGAAATTGAATAGACATTTCCACTTTCGCTGAATATATGGGAGAGAGATTAAACAGTTCAACAGAAATATAGTGTAAAGATGGCATACGTACACGCGGCATATTATGCGCGAAGATGAGTTGAGCTGCGAGGAAGTTGACGGCGTCTCGCCGGAGGTGACAATGGTATCCGGCATCGGAGAAACTCAATAGTCGAGTCCGAATTGAGGACAAGAAATGAAATTCTTCGAAGCTGCAGAGCTCTGTGAGTAGTCCTAAATAGGCTTTGAGATTTAAGGCCTACATGTTAAGCCTTTTTAAAAAAAATTAAAAATATACCTAATACAAAACTAATACATAACTGCATAAGTATATGAACACAAATCCATGAATCACATTACAAAATTACAATCAATCAACAACCACAAAGGCACAAAAACAAGGTAACATCTAACTATCTAACATTGAATATTATAACAATATAAGAACAAACACTTAAAAAATAGTAAGAACCAACACTTATGAATATTATAGCAAATTAGCATTCATAAGCAAGGTAAGATACTAGTCCCAATTAGGGATAGATGAAGCAGATTAATAGTACTGATTATGATACGACCCAATTGTAGAGTGTAATGATTTTTCTTAACATTGCAAAAAACTTCAATAATATGTTACCAATGATTCCAATCTACCAAACTGTTATTATTAAACTTTATTTTTAGACAAGTTTATCAGAAGTCATCTTATGCATAAAAACTACAAATGTATGAACTAATCTCAGGAGTGGTGTTAGATAAAGCCAGATTCTGTGAGAAAAAGGCTATTAATCAATCTTATGCATGTTGAGGGAATTGCAGAAAATGCAGTCCGGAGCAGCAGCAGCCGCCGCCGTAGCCCGTAGCAGCAGCAGCTATCCGGGTCGCAAACTGTTACAAGCGTAACTATACCACTGCTAGACTAGAAGACATACCTATCGTCGGTCGCCGCCTCGACGGAAGTTTTATTCGCTGCCGCACGTCGCCGGTCGAAGTGTGGAAGGAGTCGTCGGCTCGTCGCAAATCGCAGAGGCCATTCCTACTGGAAACCCCGGGAATGTTTCTTTTCTTTGTTGGAGGGCGCTAACTGGGCTGTCATCTTTTGGGCCCTACAATGATAAACTGAGCCCAGTTTCTTGGCAAATTATTGCATGGACCATGGTCCACACAATTGTATGGATCATGAATATCAGATACATTTTTAATATATTAAAAGTATATTATTTTTGTACTGAAGGTACATTATTTTTATATTGAAGGTGCATTAGTATATTAAAAATGTACTTTCAAAAATGTACCTTACATACATAAATAATGTACCCTTAGTATATTAAAAATGTACTTTTTATTTATGGTCCACACAATTGTGTGGACTATGGTGTTATGCAATAATGATTGCAGTTTCTTAGGCTTAGGCAAATTATCGTGTAGACCACATTTCAAAATGACGTCGTTGAATTTTATGAGTTAGAATATATAATGTAAATTATGAGTTAGAATACTGTACTTTATGTGTTAGAATAATGTATTTTATGTTTTAAAATCATGTATATTATGTGTTAGAATAGTGAAATTTCTGAGATAAAATAATTGACTTTATGAGTTAGAATAATGTACATTATACATTAAAATAATATACATTATAAATTATAAAAATGTATGTTGCAGTAGGTTGCGTGATTAAAAAATTGCGCAAAACGACGTTATTCGACCGTGGTTTACGCAATAACTATTGCTTAGGGTTATAAGCTTATTGATCATTTTGAACTGACTTTATAAAGTTAACAATTTCATGCCAAATTTAATTTTTTTTTTTTATACATGAGGAATGATAAATTATCTTAAACTCCGGAGCTCTTACCCAAGAGGTGCTAGATGAGGTAGTAACGAGTCGCTTGTTAGTCCCCATAATCCATTCCTACTTGTACATTTTGCGCATAAGGGACTTCCACCTCCTCTAATCAATGTTGCAGAATGCGCAAGACGTAAGGCGCTAGTCAGGCGTCTAGCGCCTAAGCATCCGAGTAATCTAAGATTATCATTTTCACTTTTCCCACTCAGGGTTAGGAGTTATTAGACTATTATAATCTCTCAAACTATTCAATTGCATATGTTAGATTATTAGCTAAGTACATGACTTGAGAAATATAGAAAAGAAGTAGTCAAGCAGGCAAAAAATTCACTCGGCCAAGTTGGGCACCGACTCGATCAAGTTAAACACTCGACTCAACTGAGTTAGGCGCCCAACTCGGCACCTAGGGCGCCTAGTCAGCCGACTAAAAGTCACATAAGACTGAAATATCCTCGGCCTAGGGACACCGAACGCCTAATCAGGACCTAGGCAGCCGCCTTAATTGATTTTTACAACATTACCTATAATCAGTCAAGGTCTTCTTGGCCTCCTAAGTTCCTAGTGAAATTTGAACCTCACGCTACACATAATGGTTCTTCAACTTTAATACAATTTTAACAAATGTTGCAATCAAATTTAGAAGGGATTGACATATCTTATCTTACATATGAATAAAAATAAATTTGATCGTATTGGGCAATCGTTATGCGTTGGACCCGTGTCCAGCATGCTTGCTGGACACGGGTAACAGTGCCGTTAGGCACTGTTATCTTTTTTTTTTTTTTTTTTTTTTTTTTTTTTTTAAATTCCAGACCGCTTCATAGGAGTATATGTTCATAATTTTATTACTATATTATTAATAACTGTACATTCATAACTTCATAACTGTACATTCATAACTCCATAACTGTACATTCATAACTCTATAATTGTACATTCATAATTTTCGAAGCTCTATGTTCACAATTTTAGAGCTCTATGTTCATAATTTTATCACTATATGTTCATAATTGTAAGTTCATAATGTTAGAGCTCTTTGTTCATAATTCGATCAATAACTGTACATTCATAATTCCATAACTGTAGATTCATAATCTCATAACTGTAGATTCATAACTCCATAACTGTAGATTCATAACTCCATAACTGTACATTCATAATCTTCGAAGCTCTATATTCACAATTTTAAAGCTCCATGATCATAATTTTATCACTATATATGTTCATAATTGTAAGTTCATAATGTTAGAGCTCTGTGTTCATAATTTCATAATTGCATAACTGTACATTCATAACGGCATAACTGTACATTCATAACGACATAACTGTACATTCATAATCCAAAAAAAAAAAAATAACGCCGTTAACGGCAAAACGCGCGCGATTTTTTTTTTTTTTTTTTTTTTTTTAACTAAATGACGCGTTTTTTTTTTTTTAAAACGACGTCGTTTTGGGCCCGTGTCCACAATTCACTGTGGACACGGGTCCAGGGCATAATTTGCCCGTGTTGGGGTTATGGTACACAAATGATATGATATACTCCGTATATCTTAATAACCCAACATTCGAATTAGCTGGAACCCAAACAAATAAATTAGCCCAAGGCATTATAGAATCCATTTGGAGGATTAAATCAAGTTAACTTCTTTTGGGATCGTCTTAAGTTATAAAAGGACAATAAAACAAAGAAATGGGAGACACAATACACCTTGCCCACGATTTCTATCTAGCAATAATAAAATGGACAAACCTGTACTAGGCTCTCGTTCTCCCCCCTTATCCATTCATCTTCTACATGAATATAAAATGTATAATCTCATAGTGGAATCCCATTTAACTCGACACTATCTAAAAAATTTTTACAATTTTTTCCTTGCTTTTTACGTAAAAATATCATGTTCTATTATATAAGCTTAATTTTGTGATGTATAAGTTAAATCTTCTTATTTAGACCAAGGCTTTCATTTATCATATACTATAATAAAATAAAATAACTTTAAAAGACAATATTACTTTAATCAAGTGACATTATTAGGTCCTTCACTTTAATGTATTAATTAAATCGATTTTGACTTTAAAAGAAATAAAACTTGACTCCCACATCAAAACATATACTGTATCAATTTTCATAAACCATATTTTTAATGATAACTAGATTTTCCAATCCAAAATAAAATATAAAAAAATTATAGCAAAGTATAAATGTCACACAATAATAATATAGCTCAAGTCCAGAAAAATCTGGACTCATCATATAAATTATCATTTTTTAAAAAATTAGGTACTAATTGTTTACAACTATTAGATCTAAAATATTCCAATTTACAGAAATCAAATCCCTACTAAGACTTCAGTAATCAAGGCTTAGGGAATCCTCAATAGGAGGTTCTTCAATGGTTTTTGTAGGTTTTAAAGCACATGCGGAGGAGAGAAAATGTTGTGTTTATGCAGAAGAGGATGGTTTTACTTTGATCGGTGGACCCCACCAAAAAAACAAATAAGCTCCTTGGTGCGTGTGAAGTGCGCCAGAGCGCCTAGTGGACCCCACCAAAAAAACAATTAAGCTCCCTGGTGCGCCAGGGCGCCTAGCTGGGCGCGTTAACCTTTGTTTTTTTTTCCTCTCTCCTCTTTCTTACTTGGTTTCTAAAAACTTGTGCAAAAACTTAACTATTGAAGATGCTCTTAGACGTTACTACATTGGTTTTGTTTGGGCATTTCACTATCCCCGGCCTTGAACTTTGCCAATCTTGCCAGTTCTTTAACTTGAGTCACCACCCCTTCAATCCTCATCGCCACCTCCATTGTTAGAGAAGCAAATGCCACAACTGGAATGGCCTCTGCAAGAGGAATAGCAGCAGCATTGCATGAAGCTGCTGGTGCCAAATCCGAGTCTTTCTCCTCCTCATTCTGGAATAACTTTGTCCCTGCAGAACTTGGAGGTCGCGGAATTACAGAAACTGAAATGGACTTCAAACGTTCTTGGAGTTCTTGGATAGCGCTGTCCTTTTCTTGGATTAGTATATCCACCCTGGGGAATGTGCTCCCAGTCTTGATCTCAGAAGCCAGCTCTCTCAGTATGCTTGAAGTTCTAGACCCTAGCTCCTTGCATGCTTCACTGAGAGCCTTCTTTACAGTCTCTGAACCCTATAATTCAACAAAAAAACATATGAAATGAGTGAACTTTCTACGTTACTATATTTGAAAGGTGTGCACTAGGTAAATCCCGCCCCATAACCCTAGTCAGTAAAAGACCAGAATAAGGTAAACCAGTCTAAACTTCAATGGGAGTCGAACTTGAAACTTTGTGCTACTTTGTTACCTTGGTTTCTTGATTGATGCAGCTATGTAATGTCTCGATGCAACAGGCGCAGGCGCGTATCGAGGCGCCAATTTTAAGGTATTGTTTCCAGGGATGCTGAAAGTTGAATTGCCCATGAGCCGGTTCCCATCTAGCGAAATTTGCCTGTATAGTATAAATACAAAATCTCGTTATCACTTGGTGGAGGAGTTAAATAGCAGGATGTGTCTGAACGGTTTATGAAATTGTCAGTTGCCAGTTCTTACCATTGTGTCTTCTGTATTCTTGGAATTCAGCACAGATCTGCAAGCTGCCACACTTTTAGCAGATTCCTGGGAACTCTTGCTGGTTTCTCCACAATCATCAAAGTATTCTGCTACACAGCCTAATATGGCAACCAGAAAATTAAAGCAAGTTTTTGAGACTAATGTGACAATCCAACAGAAATGATTTCAAAGAAGAATACAGAAGAGAATAGCTTACAATCTAAAGAGTTTGCCAGTTTATCCAAGTTACTTGTGATCAAGAGATGAAGCTCTTCGCCCGCCCAAACCGGGAAAATAAGCATGGTTGAGAGAGTGCACAGAGAAGTTCCTATGATTATGGTCGAAACCCTCCGATGAGCCAAAGTAAACAGCTCCTCCACACGGTATCCGGATATAGAAACCAGACTGAAGGTGAGGATGAAGATCATAGTTCCATACTCGAAACGCTTCTTCACAGATGGAATGAATCTAGAGAAAGTTGCTGCAGAAACTATTGAAACATCACAGTAAATAAGTAAGTTCAAGAACCAATTAAGACAGATTTACAAACATATTACATACCTAGTAGGAAGACAGAAGTTCCCGCGATTACAGCCTCCATCTTTGCTCCAAGCTTGCTGGCAAACCAATGAATCCCCAGAGCAAGAAATCCAGCAAGAAAAGTTCCCATGATTCTATTTAAGCATTTCGAAATGGTAGCACCTGGAAAGCACAGCACAAAACTATTAGTCCTAGCCTCACTTTCCCCAAACCTGTTAAAACGATTTTCGCCATTTTGGAATTTGGAGCCTTACCCACAGTGTACTCAAAAACTATTACAACTGTCAAAACTGCCCACATGGCTGTCCCTCCAACACCATCATACAAAGGCCTCATATAGTAAAACAGCGAGACGACGCTAAGAGCTATTCCCACTTTGAGGCCATGGATAACTTTTCTCGGCTCTTTACACCCTATATCCCATGCCTGCATAAAAAATCTCCACAGTCTAAAGACCGTTTTATCAATCAAGCACATCCAGATTATCCCAAGTTTGCTTGTCTGGGGTGGCAGAACTTCAGATGAACCTTCAGCCACCTTTGTTGTATTCTGGTTATTCATTTTGAAGGCTAAAACTAGATAACGATGTAACTGGGAATCGTTATGGGAGAGAAGACACACTCCTCTCAGATTCTGATACCACTTAGAATGTTAATGCGACGTATATAAAGCACTCTGGACTGCTAACTCTCATGTTAGGCCATGAATGGATTGCATGACGCGAAAACCCACCCACCGGTGAAATGAAATATGGACAGAGACAGTAGTTATATGCATGAATTAGTTACAGAGAGTTTTAAAATGCTGGAAATAGTGCAGAAAAGTACAAGACTTTTGGTAAAGCAAATCCACTCCAAAGTAGCAGTAGTAACAAGGCATGTGACCTGTAGAAAAAACTATATAGTATGAAAATGCCACTTTCATAGAATGATATTCTTTAGTATGAAGAACAGCTAGTAACACGTTATTCTGCATTCAACACAATAAAGCAAATGGCATTTGTTTAACTATTGTTTAGGTCATCCCTTTACCTAAACCGATTTCTGTCTGTCCTTTGACATCAGTGGTTTTCTTATCAGATTCCTCTTAGCCTTTCTTGAGGATTTTAAACACTGGTAAGATTACCCTCTCGTGTTTTTGAGCAATCTTTAGAATCTTAATCAAGATTTCAATTTTAACAGCTCAAATTCCACTCCAGCTAAAGATATAGTGAATCTGAAACCTTTTCTCCATTGGGTTTCACCAAAAGAGATATATGCATTCTTGATTTAAGCAAAGCTCACAAGAAGCAAAATAAATTATTAATTTTGCATGTAAAAGAAGTTTGTTCTCCACCAACACCACCTTGCTTGGTCCTGTCATCATACACTATCTTGAAATAAATAATCCCAACTTATGGTTCTGTGGCAAAGTTAGGTCAGGGATGTGGACCCTTGTAATCTCCAGATAATTTAATGATGTTTTTGGTGATTTCATAAGTTTCATTGGCTTTTACTGCTTGAACCAGAACACTTATCATGTTGTCTAGTGCCTTTTCTTAGTGCACTTATTTGAAAGGCTAGTTCAAGTATCTAAAAGATGATATCTGGTTTTAGCTAATCTAAAGAAGTCTGTGTGCTTTGGTTAGGTGCCCTGTTAGGACGCCACGAATTCTACAGGTATGCACACAGACCAAATTACACTTAAAAGATGAATTCAATCAATTAGTTAGTCTATATAAGAATAATAGTATAGTTTTGAGAATGATCTTATTATTAATCAACTGATGATGATGGTATAAAGTACATGGAGTTCCGGTCAGGATAGAAATGATAAATTGTAATATTCCTAATAATATATGGAGAGTGAGAATGAATTCTGGTCTGGTATCCTAATACGCCTCCTCAAGCTTAAAGTTCTCTAGAGTAGAGAACATTGAGCTTGTCACTTAGATTATTTAGCCTTGTTGTCGTTAGTGATTTGGTAGAGATGTCAGCCAGTTGATTTATTTTTTTATTTTTTTGTAAAGATGTAGTTTCATTGTAGTTCCTTTGATGCTTCGAACAAAATAAAAGAATCTTGACGAACCAAAATTTTCAGCTGCAGATCAGCTACAACAGAGCACTCATCCGGAGCACATCTACAATGGAATACTTATCCGCAGCGTAGCTACAACGGAACACTCATCCAGAGCCTTAATAAATGAAGTCAGACACGGCAACGTGCCATCAATGTATCCACTGAGACTTTGATCGCAGAGAAAGGGAACAAGTTAAGTCTTCCAAAACAAATAGTTTGAGGAAGTAAATTTCATAGAGATAAAGTGAAAGGTTGTTTGTAGGGTATTTATCGGGGTTGTGTTTGGATAGACAATATCGAAGATGTTGCGAGAAGAGGAGGTAGTGTCACCGGCTGGCGGCGGTGGATTTTTAGATTACTTATTAAGTTATATGATAAAGAGATGTATTCATAAAGATACAAAGAGTGCCAAGATCTTGTGGTCTAATGACACTAAAGTTGGTCTTTACCTAAAAAAAATGACACTAAAGTTCGACTCCCATATGGGAGGTCGTGGGTTTGAGCCTCAGTGGAGGCGGCATTGACTTTTTATGCTTCATTAGGTTGAGATATAAAGAGGTCCGACTTTATAAACCTATATATTTCTCTCTTATTTGTCAAACGTGCGACTATTAACATGCCCAAAAGTGTCAACTAACATTGAGTTTGTGAATTGGGATCATATTTTGCAGTAGATACCAATTGCAGCAATGGATTTTGTGAACACACAATAATGTTTGCTGGTTTTCTGCAATCACTTCTAAATAGCCAAAAAGGGCAGAAAAGCCACAATTTCATGATACAAAAGCTACAAGAGAAGCAAGAAATAAAGTTACAAACAAAATCAACTGTTAGCCTATAAGGACCATTACTCTATTCTTGCTTAGCAAGCATGCTCCCTTCACTCATAGCCAAATAAAGTCCTCCACCCTACTTATATATTTACCCAAAAACACACATATACTTAGCTGCCATGCCTCTTCAGTGATCAATTCCCCATTATATTCCGCGTTTCTTCTCCAGTAGAGACCAATACGAGAACTAACTATACAGTCAAAGTGTTTAAATTACCTGTCTAAATATTTTAAACGTCAATATAGGCCCTCGGGCAAGCTAATAGGAAAGGGCACAGCAGACTCGGAGCAATTGCTCGATGTACTAGGCCTTCCATTATCTCTAACATTACCAAGCTGATCTCTTGCGTGTAACTCACTAGGCCCCGAGAGTTGTAAAAGTTGAAGAAGCGAGGAAAATAGCTCGTGTCTTGATACAAACGCATTTGCCTGAAAGAAACCTCGTTTAAATAAGTGAAAACGGCTCCCCATGGAAGTTGAAAATATAGTTGCTTAATTGGGTTTTTATTCCGTTATTTACCTCAGGCTCGACAATGAAGTGTGCCCATATCTTAGTCTCGCGAAGTTCCATGGTCCCCTTCAATATATTCAAGCCAAAACCTCGGATTACATCCACTATCTCCAGAAAGAAACCTTGTTCTTGGCACAGGATCTGAATCAACAAGTTAAGATCAATACAAATTCAAATTTTTTCGAAAAAATGAAGATAATGACTTAAAAATCACCTCTATAAGCATTTGGCCAGGAGTACAAAGATCCTCAACTACCAGGGGACAAATCATTGTTTGATTCTCGATTTCACAGGCCCATGTTACTCCGTTAGTATTACTGTTGGAGTTGGAATCTTTCCGGCCCTTTTTATCCTGTTAGACAATTAGCATGAAAGTTAATAACTGATAACTACCGAAAAACGAGCAATAACATCTTTTAGTTGTTCAGGAATATGTGGCATTTGATTAAAAAAACAACCTTTAGTTCTTCAGTTTTTTTAAGTCCTTCAGCGAGCCTCGTGACACTTTGCAAGAAAAGCAGCTGTTTTATAGTTTGATGCAACAAGCGATCGATGCTCATCTGCAATACGATCCAATAAATGCACGAGAGTAAGATTCTTTCCCTTTTCAGAGGTATAAAGAACATAGGAAATTCGAGAATTGAGAATGAATATCAGATATACCTTTCCACCATTAGGAATGAGCTCTCTCAACTCTGCAAGGCGTTCGTAGGTCCTTACACGATCTTTTGGGATGGGTCGAGTTCCTGGTTTTGCCTTTTTCTTGACTGCTTTTGACGGTTTTTCATGATCCTTAGTATTCATGACATTGGTGCTGCAATTTTCACCGATCAACGATACTATAGTCTCCAACTTTGTAACTTCTCTCTCGCTAGCTAAAGGGTGTTCGATTCTCCTCTTCTTTGTCGATGATAACTGATCATTGCAACTAGATCCAACAAAAGAACACGAGCTACTAGGATTGTCGCTCAAAAGATGATCTAGGCCTAATTTGGAGAATAATCGATTCGATGGCCAATCCTTGGAACCAATGGAGTGCTCTGAGGTGCACCCTGAAATCGAAGTACCAAAATCCCACTGCTGACCACTTGTTGCTGCTGGCTTTCTAATGTTGTCTGATTTCTCGGGCATTTTACACCCAAAACCATCCAAAACTTCATCAAAGGCAGATTGTCCTAATTCATGTGTTGAAGTCATAACCGGCCTCTCCAAGACGTTTTGAACTGTATTTGTGCAATACTCAAATTGGTCTGGCAACGCACAAAACGCATTGTCACAATCCTGAGAAATCGCTCCGGGTAAGATGTTTCCCTGTAACGAAGTTAAGCTTGAACCTTCAAGCCCCCACACACTGCTGCATGAAGGTTGGAAGCCATAGCTGCTGAAGTTGGTCTGAGTTTCTACACCGCCATTTTGGAACTGGTCATCAAATAGAGAGAAGGCTTCAACCGGAAACGATTGAACCATATTCATTATAGGATCTACAAAGTCTGGGCTTGGCAGAGCTTCGGGGCTCATAAAGTAGGAAGAATTGCATATCGATGAAGCAAGAGACCCGCTAAGGCCAAAAACGTCTCCATTTGCTGATGAAGAGGAACTTTGAGCAAAAATCGTTTCAATATCTGTCCCCTGAAAGAGTTTTTTCGTTTCATCCACAAACTCCATCCTCTCTGGAAGCTGCAGATACAAGAAACATGGATATGTTATAAACCGAAAAGAGTTTAAGCATAAACTGAAGACAATTGGTAAATGCTAACCTTCTGATTAGATCCAAATTGTACAACCCCCAATGGTTCAACAGATATCACTGCAATTGTCTGGAAAACAAAGTTGGATTAATCCATAGTGGAGTAGCTAATTCCCAGATCACTAGTAAAGATTAATTGGAAAACACATCATTAACTTATACTAAAGCAAAATACCTTAATCCCACAGGAAAACTGCCCATAGAATTCAGAATCATCATCCTGTAGAATCAAATTGCAAATTACCAAATCAACACTCAAGAATGGAGTACTTTTAGCTCATCTTTGCATCCAAAATGACTAAACTAACAGATCTTCATTAGCAAAAACATCTTTTTATTTGCAAGAAGAGAAACTCTTAAGTCTTACCTGCAACAACTCATCACAATTATCAGCCAAGCCATGGTGGCTCTGCCAAACAGAATTGGTGTCAGAAAGCATCCATTTATGATTCTTGGTAAAAGCAACTTGGCCAACCACCCTGTCAAGATTTGAAATTCACATTTCCTCATAAGCCTTTCCTAAAAAAATTGCAACTTTTTCACAAGAATCTACAAGATTGTGAGCATATTGGACATACCCACTGCCAAGTATATTAACTTGCAGAAGCATATCATCAATCAACCCACCCATCTCCTCCTCATAGTAGGCATCCCTCAGTGTCAAGAATCTGGCAAAAAAGTTTGAAGTCACACCAAAAAATTAAGAAAAGAAAAAGAAGGTATCTACCACATTGAATCTTTTTATTATTTTGTAGTTAAAATCAGGGCATTTCAATCCAAAAAATGCCCATGTTCATGCAACAAAATATCTTTAAAATCACCCAAGTTAAAGATTCATATCTTATGCAAAAGATCAGACTAGCTAGCTGCTAGGCAGTGAGTGTGATAGTTTGTCAAACAACTTTTTAAAATTTCAAGAAGAATATTTTAATTTCAAGGAGGGTTTAGTATTTCAAAAGATTGCGCTTTATTCTACTATCTAGGACTGCAATTCAATTCATCAATGCTGGCAAGAATATAAAACTGAAGAAACCCAAAGAAAGCTAAACCAAACAAAAGGAAAAACGACAAAAGGGGATCACATAAACCAAAAGTTCTAAAATGATCATAGAAATCCTCTCTCTCTCTCTCTCTCAAGACTCTACAAAAAAACATATATAATATAAAAAAAATTGTGTGAATATAAGCAGGGAAAACCAAAGAACTTACAAGGAATTTTGCTGGTTGAAACCCCAGAAGACAGCATAAGACCATCCATTGCCACAGCATAGGCTCTTGAGGAGTGCTTTTGCCACTGTTTCACTCTTCCCTTTACTCATTTTCTTCCCACTCACAAAACCCAAAGAAGAAATCCAGCTATATATATGTGTATGTATTATATATCTCTTTTTACGTACAAGAACTCAATAAACCGACTTTAAACCCCAAAGCTGAGCTTTTTTGTATTCCAACAAGAATTATAGTATCTGCAGAGGCAAGTTTTAGGGTTCTTGAAACAATCAAAGGAAGCAGCTTTATACAATGAGATGGCTTCTGGGAAACCTTTGAACTCGTACAAGAAAAAGAACAGAAAAAAGGGTATGCAAATTACAAGCTAGGTAGTGCCCAGACCAGGTGAGAGAAGAAGAAAGAAAATCTGTGGAGAGGAAAATACCTTAAAGTGGAACTTAATACATAGATATAGTGTTTTGTAGTATGGTTGGATATGGGTTTTGGAGGGGGTGGGTGGGGGGGGGGGACAGTAGGGTGTAGGGTGAAAAGGAGGGGGTTGAGTTACTAGGTTTTAGCTGTGCAAAACTGGAACAAGTTGGACGAGGACACTGATGTTTTTCCTCAATTTATGCTATGCATATTTATGTTGAGATCATATATCTATCTGGTGAAAGATTTTCTGCTTTCCTTTATTGTTCTCTTTTTTCGTTTAATTATTTGGAGGATCCATTGTATGTTCTTTGGTTTGTAGTTTCTTATGGGCAAATAGCATTATTTTGGGGATATTTTTTATCATAAAGTTAAAAACGCTATTGAAAACATGCATATCTACCATATCATCCCTTTCTCTGATCTCCCTAAAAGAGTACTGAATTTTTATTATTGGAATTATTATACTTTTATGAAAAGTAAAAGGTTAGTGTAGTTTGGAAGATTAACTCAAGGTGAAATTTTTTCAACAACAAAAAGAAAAAAAAAATCATTTACTTTAAAGTTTTGTACTAAAACTTGTACTCCATGCCATTTAAAAAAAAAAAAGTATTAATAAGTATATAAACATAAATGTGTTACTTGTAGAACCTTGTAATTACGACTAACTTGATTAAGTTGTTCCATGTAGTTAGTGATTTTAGTTATCCACAAGTGAATTATGCAATCTTGAAAAATATTTCTTCATCAGCTTAATATGTGGATGTTTTAATTCGGGACTGGAAGAATTCATTTATTTCCTAAATTTTATACCAATTTAATATGAAATTAACAATTTCTTATCATTAATTTCGTTACTATCACAAGCCCCCAAAAAGTTAAAAAAAATTTATTTTTAAATTTTTATACTTAGGTGATTCTAATTTTGTCAGACTAATTCTAAGTCCACAGAACCTTACCTTTAAGAGTCGTTTGGTTCACGGAAGGTTAGATTACCTTAGAGAATGTTAGATTTCTATGTTTGGTTAAAATTAAGGTATGTAATATAATCATGTTTGGTTTAGAGTTATACATACATACATACATAATATATATATATATATATATATATATATATATATATATAAAAGCTAACATAAAATATATATTTTTAAATAATTAGAATTTAAATAGCAAAATGTATAAATAGCCAAGGTTATCTTACATAACCTAAAAAATTGAAGGGAATCACATTCCCTTCAAAATTCTATATGGAAAGAATGTTTTATTCCTTAGAAATGTTATATTCCCTAATATAATATGAACCAAACATGGAAATGTTAATTTTGGAATGTCACATTCCCTTAATTATGTTATATAACTTGAACCAAATGTCCCCTTAAAATCATAGAGGTAAATTGCGAGTCGTACATTTAGCTTGAACCCCCATTCAGTCATTATATCAAATCAAATGGCATTAATATACAAATATTTAAGACTTATAGATCAGTAAAGTCACGTCTCGTGAGATTTAGGGAAGCAAGAGGGCAAATAGGACAAAATATTTAGCCAAGCCTGGTCTATTCCTTAATTAGGTTTGTCTTTTCTTGAACTCCTTGAGGGGTGGCTGTTGGAACATCAAAAGAATAAACCAATTATTAAAAGAAATTCTATAGCCATATGTAAGGTGAGTATTATAGATATATATATATAGTTAAGGATAAAATATATGTTTACAACTTCATAAATATACATACAAGATATTATTACATGTGATTATAGAATGGAGCTGAGGAAGCTGATGATGAACGCCGGCGGCGATGGAGATAGTAGCCGGAGAATATTCCGGGGGAGAAAAACAAAACACGAGGTGGGGGGGGGGGGGGGACTCAACCCATCCCACCTTGGGAAGTGGGAAGTATAGTGAGTGGTGGGGCCCAATTCCCGGTAGAGTGTGGGGTTTGTAGGGATCATCTTCTGCTACCCTCTTCTGCCATTGCCTCCCTACTACGCAACCTCGTTTTTCGTGCTACCCTTTTCTGGTTTACATAAAAAATAACCCAATGCTATTTTGCCCCTTAATTTTTTACTCAGCTTATGTTTGGCAAATATATATGAAAAATTGATTGAAAGCTTATTATGTTATGTAATGTAACTAGATTATTTTTGGAACATTATAAGCAGAGTTTATTAGTTTATAAGTTCCTAAATAAATTCTGCTAAATAGAGTTTCTATGCTATATTTTTTCGTCTCTCAAATTTTACTAGCACTAATGGTTAATTTAATTTTATAATGTTAATTTGGTTGTTTAATTATCAATTTTCTTTTTACGCTAATTATAATAATGCGCAATATAAATATGAATAATGTCTAAGAATAAACACAATCAGGGACGGAGGGAGAGGGGGGCAGGGGGGCGGTTGCCCCCCTCATCCTACCCCTACCCCATATATAGTATTTGTATGTATATATGTATATATTACATGTTTTAATATTAGTATAAAAAAACTATAAAATGTTAACAAAAAGTGAGTTAGAGTAGGTGGTAGAGCACATCTTTGGTAATAATAATGAGATAATGAGATTAAGGGTTCCAATCTTAGCATCAACATAGTTTTACAATTCTTTTTTAATATTACACACACACAATTATTTTATTAATTATGTTTCATATTTTGTTATGAATATTTTTATAAAGTTTCGATGTGTTTTATTTTTTGTCCATATCCAACAATATTTACAATTATATTTCTTAGGTAGTTTATTTATTTATTTTTAAATTATCTCTTTTGTTTTAATGTTTCGCTTTTTCTGAAAAAAATTTCTGAATCCATATGTACTGTTTCGCCCCCCTCAACCGAATTTCTGGCTTCGTCCCTGAACACAATGTAACTATGTAAGTATGGTATGTTAGTATAAGTGAGAATGGACAATATAAAAGATAGTGATAAATTAAAAAGAATATAGTAATGAATAGTCATGGATAAATATGTAAGCAGGTATTAAGAGAATGGTGCTCATATGTTGGTAGAAGACTAGAAGTAGATACAGTTGTAGATGGTAAGATTTTGATTTTTTTATACGAAGAACAACAAAAAGTGTTCTTTAATTTTCAAACTAAAAATCTATACAAGTAAACATTTAAAAAAAAATTATTTTTCATTCTCTGATTTTTTTTAGTTTTCCAACAAAGTAAATAATCTTCCTATTAATAAACAAGGCATTTAAATTTTAAACTATTGGATGGGTTGAAAGTTGGTAATAAGTTAATAAGTTTTTTTTTTTTTTTTTTTTTTTTTTTTTTTTTTTTTTTGAGTATTATTGATTAAAGAGTCAATACCCCTACTACCGGGGTTCAATTCTGTGACAAGGTATAAAAATGTCGTCTAAGCACGAGGTGTTTAGCAAGTTTTCTTTAATTGTATGCATATATTGATTGTAATAATTGTTAAGAGTTAATTTCACGTTTTCAAAAAAAAAAACAAAAAAAAAAAAACAAAAAAAAACAAAAAACAAAAAACAAAAGAGGTAATTCCAAGGATGATCCCTTAACTATTACTCCGTAATATTTATCAATTTTTATCTTAGACTTTCAATTGGACCATAAATGGCCCATTGACTATTGATTTTTACCAATTTTCGTCCTCGACTTTTAATATGATCATAAATGGTCCTTTGACTATTGATTTTGTTCCAAATTTGGTCCTTCAGTTAAATATTCATTTAATAAACATTACATTTAAGAATACTAATGTAAAAATTAGCTTGTTGTTGAGAAGGACAAATTGAGATTAAATTTAATACATTAAGTTCATCATTGTGAAGAACTAAACTTTTTGTATTATTACCATTAAATTTAATATTTATTAAAATGATATTTAACTAGAGGACCAAATTTGAAAAAAAAAAATCAATAGTCAAGAGACCACTTATGATTAAATTGAAAATCGAGGACGAAAATTGGTAAAGATCAATAGTCAATGGACCATTTATGGTCCAATTGAAATTCGAAGGATAAAAATTATATTGATAAATGACAATAGTCAAATGACCATTCCTGTAATTAACTCTAATTGTTAATTTTTTTGAATGCTACTACTTCTACTTTTTCAGCCTACTGAAGCACAAAGAGCCAATAACGCCTCCACTGAAACTCAAACTCACAACCTTTCATATGGGAGTCCAACCCGGCTCTAATTGTTATTATTGTAATCTATTTATTATTAGGCTATAATGCATTGTATCTCAAAAAATAAAAAATTCAATTGGATAAATTATATTTTTCCTTTTTCCTACCCCTCCCATTTTCTTTGAAATCCGAACTAAAAAAAAAAAAAAAAAAGACTCCATAGTAAATATTTCCCACTACTCGTTCGACTTTCCTTCTTCTCAAGTTCCCATTTTCACCCGTCCAAACACACCTTTAGTCGTGGATGCATGCTCCATAATCCTTTTATAAACTAGTCAAACCTTTTCTGCATTGATCTTACTTTATAACCATGCAAATTTCCTTGCAATAATTGTTATACCACCACCAAAAAAATAATCTCAGTCAAATTAGTTATAACCATGCATGACCTTTACCTGGTAGGAACAAGTGTTGTGTGTGAAAGAATGTTGCATGATATTTGTAACGGAAAGGTTAATTTTATATATATATATATATATATATATATATATATATATATATATATATATATATATAAACATATTTCATTGTCAACTAGGTAGTCATGACATATACTGCTAGGTATCACTCATGACTTACGAGTTATTTAATAATGAGTTATTAAATATTACTATGAATCTAGAAAGTCACGCCTTAATGGTTCGTGATAATGCTGAGAACTTTAAATGAAATCGATAATGAGTTATCAATATTGAATTAATAGCTTATTAATGACTTAATTTAATATTGGGTAATTTTGGCTTTTAAAAGCTAGCACCTTTGGGCACAAACCAGGCTATATAAATAGCCTTACCATTTTTCTTAGAGATGTGAAGTGAAAGAGATTTGATTCGGAAAAATAATT